AGCTTAATCAACAACATATACAAGCAACAGTGGGATAAATATGATAGAGTAAATTATTAAAGATGGGCTTTGGATTTACTTTTTATGGGGTCTCTTAATACAGGCTTTGCTTTAGCAGGAATTGTATTTAGTTGTAGGAAGACCTGATGATTTTCACATTGTAAAGTAGTCACAGGTAAGTCAAAAATCCAACTGCATTAAGTATTTTTTTAAGCAGAGATTTTGCTTGTGTACATATACACTACCAGATTGTTTATTTATAATTAAAAAACAATTTTGTTCAGCAAAGACGCTGTAACTTGACAAAAATTAAACTCTTTTAAAAGGTTACAAAACACTTCTATTTCAAATAAATGTTGGTCTTATATTTTCAATTAACCTAAAAATCCTGAGGAAGAATCACAGTTTCCACAAAAATATTAAACACCCTCAATAATTTTAATCATGAGAAAATAATGAGAAATGTTTCTTGAGCAACAAATCAGCATATTAAAATGATTTCTGAAGGATCATGAAACACTGAAGAATAAATTACATTTTAAAATATATTATATTATAGAAGATATTTTAAATTGTAATACTATTTTACAATGTAATAGTTTTACTGAATTGTATTTATTTTTTTATCAAACAAATGCAGCCTTGGTGAGCATATAAGAACTTTCAAAAAAAAATCTTACCGACTTCAATACAGTTTTGGTTTAAATAGAACGTTTTCATATTCATCTTTTTTTTTTCATCTTGCCGTAATGTGTTTCGTCTTTAAGGCAATGTGCTGCTGAATAATTTCTTGATCTTAACGATTTCTCGGTCGATTTCATGATGTATGGAACATTTAGCTTAAATTAAGTTCAGATAATATAATATGCCCTTTACCTTTGAATAACCTTTCCAAACTAAATTCTTTGCTGTTATCTTCAGGAAGCGCTCAGTGCTGAGTAACTGTGTTGAATTACAGATATAGCTTGAAACAGTTATTATGCAACTTCCACATCACCTCAGGAGGAAATGAGGTCAGCTATAGGGTAATAAAAAGGACAACACCAGCACTCATCACCTATGTAAAAATGTTGGCTGTAGTTGTTCAGACTAACTGAATCATTCCTTTGTGTATTCAGCACTAACTGATAAAATGAGCTCACTCAATGCAGTTCAATCCACTTGCATGTACTCTAACACATCACGCTGGCATTCACAACCCAAATATGACCTGACAGCACAGTCCCATGAGCTCTGACTTCTTTTGTTTAGCAGAATACACACCCGCTGAGGGTTAATGCTCAACCTCTGCCCTTAGTTAATGAAGGGAAAAGGCAGAAGTCTATACATATCTGCTTGTAGAATGGGAAAGGAAACAGAACAGGAGCCGTGCAGGCTCCCACACTGGACTCCTGTCAGGAATGAATTTCAACAGAGATTCACCCCAAACGTTCCTCATGCATTGCTATCTAATGTAAATATATATGCTGGGGCCGATGCTGACTGAGTTTTTATCAGTCCTCCGTCTCTACCCTTATATGTTTCCCCTTCGGAGCCACTCCAGCTGACAGTAGTGTCCTTCTGAAAACAGAATGTATCCTGTTTCTGACCCTGTCCCTGTTGCACTGACCCACTAATAGGTCTAATAGGATTACATGTGCTGAGGCTGCTTTGAAAAACAGTCCTGAGCCACTGTATCGTCTGTGTGAAACAGTTGCAGAGACAGTGAATTTAAAAGAATCTTGCAGATAAATTTAAAAGACTTAATGCAGGGCAGCAGTTTTAGTATCATTGAGATATTATATTATATGTGACCCTGGACCACAAAAATAGTACAGGTATATTTGTAGCAATAGCCAAAAAATACATTGTATGTGTCAAAATTATTGATTTTTCTTTTATGCCAAAAATCATTAGGATATTAGGTAAAGATCATGTTCCACGAAGATATTTAGTAAATTTCCTACTGTGAATATATCAAAACTTAATTTTTAATTAGTAATATGCATTGCCAAGAACTTCATTTGGGCAACTTTATAGGCGATTTTCTCAATATTTAGATTTTTTGCACACTCAGATGACAGATTTTCAAATAGTTGTATCTTGGCCAAAAATCGTCCTATCCTAAAAATCAATACATCATAACCATACAACAATAGAAGGCATATTTATTCAGCTTTCAGGTGATGTATAAATCTCAATTTATACATGATATAATGACTGGCATATGACTGGTTTTGCAGGGTCACATGTCATTTTTATTTTATTTTACAATGTAATATATATTTAGAGTTAACTATAATTTTGTTTTCAGTTTTAGTTAACTATAATAACTCTGATGGCCAGCTATTTCTACCTAACCTGCCTCTTAAAAATTCTGTTGGTGCAATCTAATCAGGTTTAAGTCAAATTACATTAGATTTTTGACTTGTATAAACCAGTTAATTTGACATTTCTTTTTGTATTGCGCATATGTGCAAATCTTATCAGTACTTGGATTGAAAATAAGCACGAATTAAGTGCAAGAAGAGCACTTATATATTATTACATGTGGTGTAGCGCTGGTGTTATTGTGAAACTCTGACTCAGCTCTTCAAATTGTTTGTTTCTCACTGCTCATGTGTGATTTCACCTTGTAAGACGCATTTCTGACACATGCTGCCGTTGGTGGCAAAATTACGCCAACTGCTAACTTTACAGTCTAATACAGGGCTGTTCAAACTCGGTCCTGGAGGGCCGGTGTCCTGCAGAGTTTAGCTCCAACCCTGATTAAACACACCTGAAGCAGCTAATCAAGCTCTTACTAGGCATAGAAACTTCCAGTCAGGTGTGTTGAGGCAAGTTGGAGCTAAACTCTGCAGGACACCGGCCCTCCAGGACCGAGTTTGGACAGCCCCTGGTCTAAAACTATGGCATTTACACCAGTCACCAATCCGCATAACGAAAGGCGAAAGAAACTTAGAAAGTAAAACCAGAGAAATGTCTTCAGCTGCATCACGTCCAGTTTCCAAACACGCTGTACAGATTGGTTATAAAGCGGTCCACTGCTGCCCTCTGGTGGATTCACATCGCATTGTGTTTTACAAAGCAGTACAGATATGTCTTTGGAAATTCGCGTTATCAAAAGCTGGAGGTAGATTTCAGGAAGACGATGATTAACCTAACGCAGCACACATTTTTACAGACATGTCAAACTTGGCTACAACCCCCAGATGTCAAATATATTAGTCTGAATACAAAGAGCCTAGATCATTTTTCTCATTGCCTGCTTTAAATGATGGCAACATTTTGTTAAACCCGGAACATCGCTTGTATTGAGAGAGACTTAAAGGCACAATATGTAAGATTTTTTTTATTAAAATATCCAGAAACCACTAGAACAGTGTTATATATTTTGGACTCGTGTACTTCCATTATCCCAAATGTTTTGAAGAATGTTTAAATCCAGAGAAATAAGCAATTTTAACTAGTGACACGACCGGTCCATTGTGTCGCCTGCCAATGACGTCATAACACCTCGATTTCCGGTTTTGTTTTGTTGAAAACACCAAAGACGCTTTAATATGTTGTGCGTTTTATTAGACCGGTGACGACCGCACAGAGTAGCATTATAACAGAACTTTCAAATGTATCTAGTATGATAAAACAGCTGTGTTACTCCACATGCGCACGACCGGAAGGAGCGGAAGCGGTCGACTGCGGCATAATAAAAGCTCCGCTGCTTTCGAGGCGTGTGTCATGCTCGTTCAGCGGCCTCGTTTCGCTTCGACTCTGCTTCATTCTACTATGTTAATAAATCATTATTAAAGGGTGCTCATCCATGAACATGATTTCTGCCCGAGCCCTGTCGGATTGCATCGGCTGTGGGGATGAAGACAACAACTCCCATGATTCCACACTAAGTCACGGCCTTTGTCTCTTTGTTTGTTTTGAATACGCGCCCTCTAGCGGCGAAAATGACATTGTGCCTTTAAGAATAATCTTTTAATTTGAGCTGATATTAAAATAAAACTATAAACCATTATTATACCATGATTTTTTTTTTGAAGAGAAAACAGACTTCAATATCAATAAACTTTTAATAAATAGTTTCTCATTAGTTCCTAATATTTACAGCCGGTTCACCATTCACATATAATGTTTCTATTCTTTTAGAGCACATTTCAGGCACAAATTAATTGGCTTTTTTTCTGAGACAAACACCAGATTTTTTTTGCAAGTTAGTGGCTAGTGGATGAAGTAATGATGCAGGTACAAAACAGGATGATAACCATGGTCTCTGTTCCTTGCTAGTATGACAGAGAATTCCATTCAAATTTGGACATACAGATCAATGCAAAATTAAGTCTATTTTAAATAACATTTAAATTTTCAATGCAGTAAGAGAACATAAATGGTCCAAAATGTTAGCTAAAAGAAGTTACGATGACTAAGCCCATGGATCATCTTGTTGATTGGTCTTGAAAATAGTAAAAGAAAACCAAACAAATACCAGAAAGTCAATAAAAACACACAAAGACAGAAATAAAGTCATAGGTATGGCACCTAAAACCAAATAAACAAAACCTAGACATCGGTTAAAAAACAAAAAAACTAAAGTGATCTGAATGCACTTGAGATTTTCTCTGGAAAAATCAAACGTTTATGTTGAGATCTGATAAAAGTATTCAAAGTTTGTCCCGCCAGAAAAAAAAAAAAAAAAAGCACCGCAAATAGAAATCGGCCACAAAATTTGGGGTCTAAAATTACAACGACGTGCCCAGAAAGCTCAGCTCTAATAGAAATACCACGTTTAGAGTCTAGTATAATACCACAGAACTTTGTAACCTTGTACATCCTACAGTAATTTTAAATAACATTTAAATTTTCAATGCAGTAAGAGAACATAAATGGTCCAAAATGTTAGCTAAAAGACGTTACGATGACTAAGCCCATGGATCATCTTGTTGATTGGTCTTGAAAATAGTAAAAGAAAACCAAACAAATACCAGAAAGTCAATAAAAACACACAAAGACAGAAATAAAGTCATAGGTATGGCACCTAAAACCAAATAAACAAAACCTAGACATCGGTTAAAAAACAAAAAAACTAAAGTGATCTGAATGCACTTGAGATTTTCTCTGGAAAAATCAAACGTTTATGTTGAGATCTGATAAAAGTATTCAAAGTTTGTCTCGCCAGAAAGAAAAAAAAAAAAAGCACCGCAAATAGAAATCGGCCACAAAATTTGGGGTCTAAAATTACAACGACGTGCCCAGAAAGCTCAGCTCTAATAGAAATACCACGTTTAGAGTCTAGTATAATACCACAGAACTTTGTAACCTTGTACATCCTACAGTAGCAGCATGTGTGATATTAATTGACTGGATCTAGCGACGCTCATCCAATAACATGTAAGCTAATCCACCCACATCAGTGCTTGCGGTAATATGAAAACTAGGTATGCGGTCAGTAAGCTCCTAACCCTGCTAGCCTGTTGTAACATGGCAGTGCTGACGTTCACAGGGAGCTCTGGCGGCGAGGCAGATGATAAACAAGAATGAAATATGCGCAGGCTCTGACAGGAGCGATACGATTGACCCTTCTCAGAGCGAAGTCTTCATCTGGGTTTGGTAATTGCAATAGAAAGTCACTTAAAGGCATCTTTTACTTCCCCTGCATGAAGTTTGACAGACCTCTCATGATAGAAAAGGAGAGGAAGTACAAACCATTTCATCTGATGTACAAGAACAGAAACTGTAGGCTGAAAGAGCATGATACTACAGCGATGACTGCATGAAATGACGCTGATGACCTTCTTTCTTACATTTCTTGTTTGCGTTTCCTCTAGGATTCAAACAGATGATGCTCAATCTGTAGTACAAAACCAAGAAGAACCAGTAGAAAGCAGCACATCAAAAGTTAGCCTGTAACATCACGACAGACACATTCCCTATTGTTACAGTTACCAGGTCTTTGGGCAAGGAACATTTATATAATTTATATGTTGAAACTCTGAAAGAGAGAACCCCCCCCCCCCCCCCCCCCCACACAAAAAAAACTAAGTAACAGTAAAAATTAGGAAAACCGTCACCAAGTCTGTATCGGCACACAACTGCGTCTGCTCGCATTTCCCTCGCTTGTGCAAGGCAAAATGTCTTTAGCTCCACTTCCTGTTCCTCAAGGCCAAGATCAGCTCCCGGTTGGCCCAGTTACGCACTTGCAATATCTGCACCAGAGAGGACGGTGATGCCATCTTGTGTAGAAGGTGCACTGCACGTGTGCGTTTGGGGAGGTTGGGGTGGTGATTATGAGGGGGTTTGGGGTCCGATGCCCATCCCCCTCGTCAGTGGGGTTATACACTGCTGTCCTCCAGTAGAGGCTCCTTGCCCTCGCAGGGTCCACCCTGCGAACTGTGTAAGTGGCTCTGTGCGCCATTGTTGTGCTTCTTGTAGCTGCCGGGCCGCAGGTTGGGGGCATTGTGCTCTGGGATGAAGAGAGCAACCAGCAGGGACAGCAACACTGAGCACGCTCCGAACAGGAAGGGAGGGCCGGGGATGATGGCACTCTGAAGAGGCACGGATAGAGAGAGATTTGTGGGTAGGTGCATGTTTTGTAATACAGAGATTTCTTCATGCTTTTAATCACTCACCTCATCTGTAGGGTTGGCCATGTTGGGTTTGGCACCCTTCTCTGGGCTCTCTGCGGGGTCCATTTCACTGAGCTCCACATGGAACAGGTAGAAGACGAAGCCGTAGAGCGCTGGACCCAGACCGTTACACAGACCTCGGATTCCCGTGATCATTCCCTGCACCACACCTGACGCAGAAACAGGACAAAAACACTGAGGACTGCAGTAATGGCTCCAATTCTATATTAAAATAGTTGTTTTGAATTGTAATAATTTCACAATATTACTGCTATACTGTATTTTTGATAATAATAAATGCTGCCTTGTAAATATAAGAGTATTCTTTCAAAAACATTTTTGTATAAATTATTTATTTATTTTTAGTTTTAAACTGTAGTATATTTAATTAAAATTATCGTTAGTGTATTATCCTACATTTACACAAAATAAAACGTAATATAAAATAGAATATAATATAAAATTAAATGGAAAAATAAATTAATGTATTTTACTATCAGCATAACATTAAACCTATTAATCAGCTAATTATAATTGACCACAATTCGATACATAAATAATAATTCAACCAATTGCATAAGATCAGACAGTCATTACTGGGTTAAAAGTAAACTGAATTGGTTTATTCTGCACTGGCTGACTGTATATTATCCTGTTTATTACATGGCTACCAAATACACAAATACACAAAATATCAATGAGTTGAAATTATTTTATTACTTGAGATGAGATTGTTAGTTTCATGTCTCTTGTGTAACTATGCAAAGCTTTGTTTTTGTCCACGGAATGCAGCGAATATTCCAGAGAGTGATGTAATAACAATAAACAGTAGCTTATCATAATCATTCTGCGGCTAAGCTTAACTAAACGTGCCAGCCAGAGGATTTTGTGTGAATATTTTAAGATTGGACACTTTGTGGCTGCACGCGTCTCACCTTGTTGGTCGGGGTCTGCGTTGCGGGACACTATGGCACTGATTGCTGGGAAGGTGATGCTGGACATGGCAGCAACGGCTCCAGCGGCCCACATCATCCTTAAGAGACAAATCAACCATCAGACTCTCTCACACACACATATATAACACAGACTCTCAATCTGTTTAAGTTTATGAGCATGTGTAACTGGTTTCAGGAATACACACTGATCCAAAACACACACACTGTTGAGGTCATGTTTACTTGTCTATTTGAGTTTCAGCCAAGAGACACAGATAGATAACTTGCTGATAGCTTTCCTATAGTTCAAAGAGTAAAGCACGGTGCTAGCAATGCCAAGGTCACATGTTCGATTCCCAGGGAAAGCATGAACTGCTAAAAAAATAAATGTGTACCCTGAATGCAATGTATGTCACTCTGGATGAAATTGTCTGCTAAATGTAAATGATGCTTGTAATGGCATGATAAGTGAGTCAACATCTTTTCTGGCATTTCCATTTTTCCAACATTATGTTTTAGGAAAGTATCTAAGCTCTAAAACATCTAGTTCAATTGCTTTAAATAAAGCTTATGAAATATCACAATAAGTTCTAATTTCAAATACAAATCCGATTCCAAACTGAACTATGCCATGTCTAATGAAGAGTGCTGCCCTCTAGTGGGTTTCTAGATGATCAACTCACCAGGGCTGGGAGCCAAAGCCATACCAGGCCAGCTGTAGGATCTGAAAGCCGAGGCCTAACAAGATAGTGTTCTTATTCCCTATGGAACGCATCAGGATTCCTAGGACAACCGTCTGCACAGAGAGAGGAACCATTATTCTGAAATCTTCACTGGCGTCCATTTACAACAATTAATTTTTTTATTTTTAAATAAGTCTCTTTAATGCTTTTCAACTATGTATTTGTTTACAGTAAAAACAGTAAAATTGTGAAATATTATAAATTAAAATTATAATTTTCTAGTTAAATATATTTTAAAAAAATGTAATTTATTCCTTTAGTGACAAAGCTGAATTTTCAGTTGCTATTACTCCAGTCTTCAGTGTCACAACAGAATTCTAAACATTCTGATTTAATGCTCAAGATGCAGATCATCAATGCCGAAAACAGTTGTACTGCTTAATATTTTTGTGGAAACATTTATTCTTTGATGAATTAGAAGCATTTATTTGAAATAGACATATTTTTGTAACATTGTAAATGTTTTTACTGTCACTTTTGATCAATTTAATATATCCTTGCAAAACTAAATTATTAATTTTTCAAAAAAAAAAAGAAAAGAAATCTTACTGAACCCAAAAATTTGAAATGTAGTGTTTTCCCAAAAAAGAGGGTTTATTAATTTATTCATAGTTTATTATTTATATTTTAGTAATTTATTATTCATATTAAATTATTATTAATTATTCAAATCTGTCAATTGAATATTGATCAACTATGATACATGATATTGAATATTTATAAACTACATAAACCATGACTGCTTTCATTAGCTATGTTTCCATTCAAAGTTACGAATTAAACTTATGTTCAAAATTAGAATATCGCATAAAACATTTGCGAATAAAGCATCTAGTGAGTTGAAGAGAACAAAATCGTCACTTGCTGATTAACTCACGCTAAGTATCATGAAGAAAAATGTAATTAGCTGCAGTAGGAGAAAGCACTGTATATAATAATTTTAATATACAATAAATTACGAGCTTCAGAACGCGCAGACATCTTATTATCTTATCTTATTTTCGGAGCCTGCTGTTTGGGAACGCAGTTCTGGGAGTTAATTATAACGAAACACTTTGACGAGACTTTGCTCAAGCAAGCATTTTAGAATGACAAAACTAGCATTTCAGACGCTGTGCAACAAGATCGGTCCGCTGGTTAGTCAAGTTATCCCATCGCAAAGTCACGTGTCTTTTTTGATGTGCCTTAGGGAATTTATTCTGTAAAAGTGTTTCCATCATAGTTTATGCCCATGTTTTCTTACCGGATAAGAAATTTATCCTACTTAGTTGAGCACATACGTCTTTTATGCAAATTTTTAGAATTTATGCACATCTTGCTGTTTCCATCCAGCATTTTTTAATGCAATATCCCGCATAAAATATGCGCATAAACCTAGGTGGATGAAAACAGCTATTGACATCAGCGACTCACTGCAAAGGGGTCTGCCTGCTCCCATGAGATGGGGGCTCCCCATGAAACTGGTCTCATCTTCTCAGGCAAGGACTCAGGAACCGCTACCAGGATAAAACAGATGTCTAGCAGAGCAATGGCCGTGGCAAGGATCACCACCAGAGTATCTCCATATGCCTCTGACAGGTAAGCACCGATCGCTGGGCTCGTCACCAAACTGGCTGCAAAAGTGGCCGATACCTGTGGGAAATTAATCTTGAGATTAAATCAACTGTGCTGACCGCAAGGGAAATGTTCATCAATGCAATTAACACATTCATTTCTTATTTGCAGGGCAAAAATGGAAACCGCAGATGGCTGTTAAAACAACAGGAAACCAATATCCGCCAAAGCGTTACAAAAAGTAACTGCTGTTGCACATATGCTGTGAAGTCAGGTTACAGCACAACATCAAAGGGAAGTCATGAATCATGGTCCTCTGCTCACCAAGCCATATGCTGTGCTCCTTTCATGCTCCTGAGTGATATCGGCCACATATGCAAAGATCACAGAGAAAGTGACTGCAAACACACCAGACATGGAGATCACTGCAAAGTACCACCTGTGGGATCAGACAGAGAGAAGGAGATGATCACCAGAAAAATGCTTAAATGAAATGCTTAAAACTTGATAGTAGTAAACAGGCAACTTTAAAATAACATTTACAACTTGGGCAAAAGCGTTCCAAAATAGCTTAAAATTAAGATGATGATATAAATAAATCAATTAAATGACAATTAACAACCTTTAATAATGCACAAAATGCAATAAATACATTGACCATCTCACTGTAAGGTTAAACTCACAACTGTGTGTGTGTATATATATATATATATACACACACACACACACCAGTATTATATATATGTGCGTTTATTATTCTACCCAGACACAATGACAGATTTGATCAACATAATAAAGAATACACATGGAGTTACACATTACATTAGAATAAATTTTTTTTTAAATGGGTGTCAAAATGCCTTAATTTTCTTTATTCAAAATAATATTTTTCCATTAATTTTTAAAAAAAATGTAAATATACAAAATTTCTTGATTTTTGTGAAATTAACTTACTAAACCAATACTAATATCCGCAGAAGCATCATGGCTATGTTGCCTATTGTGCTGCGACATATTATCACTAAATAGGAGTCAAGAAAACAAGCATTTGTAATGTTAAGGTGTAGGTGATCTAGGTTTTTTTATGTGCTATCAATGTGAAGTCTATATAGTGGGTGATTCTTGAGTCTTTGCCTGTCTGCATCGGTCTTCATGTAAGAGACGTACCATGGGCTGATCTTCATGAGAGGGATGGGAGCGCAGGTAAAGAACACAGTGAGCAGCAGGAAGGACTTCCGGCCCCACACATCTGACAGAGCACCGATTAGTGGAGCACTCAGAAAAGACAGCAGGCCCTGAGTGAATACAAAGACTCCCTTAAATGACACATGTACTTCAAAGTTACGAAAATATCTGAATGACATGACCAGAGCTTGTCAGGATGTGATAAACTTGATGTGTGACAGTAACACTTGGGTCAGGGTGAATTTTGCCATAAGTTTGATTGCATCATATAATAATTGCTGTTAATAGTGTTCATCGTCTTTAGTGATTACGTCTTTAATTGATTTTTCCGTACATTTCTGCCATATGTACATTAACTGACAGTCAACACTGATAAGCTACCACTAAATATTGCAAAAACTTAATTTGCTGTAAAGTTGCTTTGCAACGATTTGTATCGTGAAAAGCGCAATACAAATAAACTTGAATTGAATTAGGCTGATCACAGAATCTTGTTTATCGGTCAGGTCTAAAAATGGTACATTATGTAACACTGTGTGACCAGGGCTTATCATGAACAAACATGGCAACCGAAAGAGCAGCGAACTTCAATCATGACTTCAATCACAAAAGAATAAAAAAAAAATATATACACACACTTTTTTGGAGACGGCTTATGGTAGAGACATGAACACTCAATTCACGGGCAAAATTCCCTCAAAACTTGCGACATCTGTGGCATTGTGCTGTGTGATAAAACTGCACATTTTAGGAGTCGCCTTTTATTGTGGCCAGCCTAAAGGCACACCTGTGCAATAATCATGCTGTCTAATCAGCATCTTGATATGCCACACCTGTGAGGTGGATGGATTTTCTCGGCAAAGGAGTAGTGCTCACCAACACAGAGTTTGACAGATTTGTGAACAATATTTGAGAGAAATAGGCCTTTTGTGTACATAGAAAAAGTCTTAGATCTTTGAGTTCAGCTCATGAAAAATGGGGGCAAAAACAAAAGTGTTGCATTTATAATTTTGTTCAGTGTATATACATGTATTGGTCTTTTATTGATTTATTTATTTAAGTATTTGTTTTAATTGTAAACCTTATTTTTGCACTGAAATAGGATTGCACAATTTCGTTGTACTTTTTGTATAATGACAATAAAGATTCTGATTCCTTATCTCTTCTCACATCAGAAAGGGAGAAGAGGAAAAAGCATGAGTAAAAGTGAACAGCTGGAGTCAATGTCCTACCTTGACACCATGAATAAGTCCGTTCATCAGGAATGTGTGCTGGGGGAATGTCTGATGTAACACCTGAAACGAAAACACAGACTGACCATAAATGTATGCTGTAAACTGATAATCTGTTGGCTACAAAATAACCATGAGATTCACTAGCTTTACTCTGTCAGAACTCAAAGAAGCACTGCTACTGGCTAACAATAAGGATTGGGTGATTCATCACAATATATTTACACAGACTTTGCTCACAATATAAAAGTATGCAACATCATGAACCTTACAATGATTTTAATGCACTTTTAGACTCATTTCAAGATTCATCTTTCTCTCATGAGTATAAGAGGCACAGATGCTTTAATAAGCTCTTATTTAAACTTCCGATTTCAATTAAACATTTAAAAACTGACGTCGTTTATTAATTATGTATTGTTATATCAGTGAACAATTACAATATGATTACAACATGTCAAAATATCAATAAATGTGTTTATGTAGTATACAACTGTAGAAAACGTGCCTTATATTTTACTTTACTTCATGCATTAAACATTTTGATTGCACTTGGCAACAATAAACAAGTTTGATTAAACAGAATACAAAAATAATAAATGGATAAATACATTTCTGTATCTCTACTTATTTGCTCTGAAAATGCTTACATGTTAAATAACATCATCAAACAGCTGAAACCAAACAACAATCCATTTCCACATTAAAAATTATTAATAGGGTAGAAAAACGTATGTAATCTGTAATGTCCATGTCAAATACCCAAGCTGTCCACAAGCTAAGTTTGCTGCATATACAAAAGGTTATTTGTTTTTCCAGATAAATGACGAGTGTCATTTGTTATTGCTGCTTTTCTTTGTGAAGGTAACAAAATAACCACATCAAGTACAAAACATGTTGTTTTGACTGTGCATTGAAATGACCAACCTATAATAAAAAGTACAAGACAAGGCTGTATTAAAACAGCAATGTTACTTGTGCATTCTAAGAGGTGAACTGCTTTCTATTTGAGGCAGAGCACAAGTACCGTCATTGCTGTTGATAGCAGGTGCAGGCCTCTAACTGGAGCAATGATTCCCACAGCTGGATTAATCATTAAACTCACTGTATACAACAATGTCAATGTTTTACATATGTTACATAAGTGTACAAAAGAGATCTGTTCTTTTATGATTGGAAGACAAATCAATTGACCTGTATACAAATTCAAAGACAAAACCTTCAGTTCCAAGAGGTCAAAAGTCTAACAGGGAACATTAAGCTTTACTTATACAGCAGCATGGTCAATTCTCGATTCTGCTAGGCTAAAAAAGGCATTTATCAGTTATGTTCTATAACTGCACAGCTATAACAGACTTAAATAAAAGAGAAAACCAACTGGTTATTGGTAATTCAATGTTGTTGGTCTGTTGTAAATGACTTATGTATTGTCCTGCAAAAATTATTCTGCTTGTATATAGGTCAGATTCATACAATGAGCATGGAAATGTAAACAGTCTAACAAACCCACAATGCACCTGTGGGGAAAAAAAAAATTTAAACTGAAATGAGTAATAAAGAGTAGAGCCCGACCGATATATCGTTTTGCCGATATTATCGGCCGATATGAGCCTGTCACCGATATATCGGTATCGGCGAATATGCTGCTGATATAAACTTTTTTTTTTACAGAACATATAATGTAGATAAAATGCTTGAAATGGTGTAATTACTTGGTATGTCCAGCAGAGAGCGCTCCATTGTTTGCTACTGGCGACCTGGATGAAACACTTTAAAGCTCAAGTCTATGGAAAACCATTGAAATTTTGAACGGCCATATCTCCATAACAGCGCGGCGAATCCGCACCAATTTCGGGGGATCCCTTCAGCTCGAGGAACCCTCTCGAACATGAATTGATTGTACGTTTAGAGGCCCACTTTCTAATGAGACCACTGCCACGTCAATAGCCCCTACCTGTCGGGGGGCTACCGACACGCGGAGGGTGGCGTTCGATAGGGCTCCTCGAGCTGAAGGGATCCCCCGAATTTGGTGGAGATCCGCCGGCGCGTTCGCGAGATAGTGACACCAGTCAACACTTTCACTTCAGTAAGGAGGTCTCTTGTTCAGGCAGCAGCATTCAAGTGTGGTCTTATTCGAAGTGGACTTCACCTGAAATTCCGCCATGATTCCAGTTCCAAGGGAACGTACACGATACATTCAAAGGGCATTAAAGTGTGCGAGACGTGAATTTATTTTGTATTTATTTACAGAGGTATATTATGTCACACTTCTCTAGTAAGTTTCCTCTGTGTGTGAAGACAGTAGCGCAAATCCGTGAATGAATGTTCCGAAGTGAAAAACTTCAACAGAATAAAGTTGAATGGAATTAAATTGAATTAAAGTTGAATAACCTTCAACTTTACTGTTCAGTGCAATGATGACTCATTTTGGATAATAAAGTTTGTTAATTTGTTAAATGCCCTGTCTCCATTACCTATCTCTGTCACGTCATTATAAGCGTTTCATCACCACATTTGAGTGATCATTGCAAAAAATGTTTATGTATATACTGTATTCTACATATAGTACCAGTCAAATGTTTGGACACACAAATGGGAAAGTGTCCAAACATTTGACTGGTATTGTACTATAATATACACAAAGAATATCGGCCGCTATATCGATATCTGCCTTTTTTTACTCCCCAATATCGGTATCGGCCCAAAAAAACCCCATATCGGTCGGGCTCTAATAAAGAGCATGTGAACCAGATCTAAGAAATTGGAATTTATCGTTTCTTCACTTTTGCTTAACGTTTCAATTGTTCTTTTCTCATTTAAGAAATGATGGGCGATTTTGAATTGTACTGAAATGTAATGGTACTTTTCCCCACTCTAAATGTCAGAACGAATGCTGTGAACAGACTGTTCCGTCGCTCTGTTGGGAGATGAAAACAATGCATTTCACCTGCTGTGTTAGTTTGATATGGCACTCAGATTTTAGGGTGCGCTGAAGCAGATCTCGATTGCACTGTCTGAAACAGCAAAACTGTGCCTCTCGCCGAGACATAAGACTTGTCAGTGTGGCTTTCAGCTGGAAGGGTTTGTTAGGCTCATTAGTGCTTCAGTATCAGAGGCTAGTAATCAAATAAAAGGCCAGAGCAAAAAGCGCGGAGGCGACTTTCTGGCTCAACTGCACCAACTAATGCAAATCCTCCTCCCAAATTAGGAAATGAGGACAATAAAGGGACAAAAAAGGGTCAATTTATACATATTCAAGACATTAAGCAACTAGGGTCCATTTAAATTTCAGCCACTACCAATAGCCAGTGATAAAACCTAAAAAAAATTATAATTATGATGTTACATTACTTTTCTATTTGAACACAATTTCCATTACAAATAAGAAGCATAACATGTTAACATTTTTATTAAATTGGAAAAATCCAATTTCAAAAGATTAAATACAAGAAAAGCAGATTTTAATTTGTTCTCAGACTTTTGTATGCTGTGGCTGATAAATGATATCAAGGCTCATATTATAAATCTATATGGTTCTGTGTTTATTCTGCTGAGTTAACAACAGAACAGACAGTGGTTAATTCAGCAGAAAATGCCAATATTTGCAGATACTGATACGGTAACAGATACACTGCACCGTACATACCTAGAAACAACTAGGGGTGGGGGGGGGGGAAATCGATAGAGCATAGTATCACGATATTTTCTGCGGCAATACTGTATCGATACACGGACGCCAAGTATCGATCTTTTATTATACTATTTGGTAGAATAATAAAATCTATTTCTTTACAATCCACTAGATGGTGGTGTTGAGTTTTTTTCTGGTGAAGTCAGCTGGGTCACCTTCAACATGCAGTACGCTAGTAAAATAAAGAGGGCAGCATCGTCCGCGTTTAAATCGGATGTATGGATTTACTTCGGATTTGTAAAAAAGGAGGGGATGCAAGTAGGGATGCACTGAAAATATAGGCTACTTATAATAATAATAATAATAATAATAATAATATTATTATATGGCAGTGTTCAGCGCTAGTGACGGGAAGTTCAGATAATTTTACCGTCTCGGACCTTTGAGTCTCGTTCAGCAAAATGAACAAATCTTTTTTCGAGTCATTTCATTCATTTTAGCAAAGTATAATTAAAATGTAACGTGTTACTTCCCTAATACGTCTACTACTTACACAAACGTTGATCACACTACAAAAAATACAAAACTGCTATAAGAAACAGAAAAGATTAATTCATTGTTTACCTGGGTCTTCAGTTTATGGTTAGCTCACCTCACCTCTTATCTGACAAGTCTTCGGGTTTGAGTCGTTCGTTCATCACGTGACAGCCCCATACGCTTTAACCAATGCAGTCTGAGCCGGAAAGAGAATTGATTAGTTCATCTCTCAAGTCTTTCGAATCGTTCGTTCTTTTGTCACGTGATGTGACAGCATTGGATAGAGAAATTAGTTAATTTACAAGCTTCCTTACAAATGGGTGCATAGTTATTATTATTATTATTATCATCATCATTATTTACTCTTACAGTTACGTGATGTGTTTCTGGTCTCAAATTGTAGCTTTTTACTTCTTACAGTTTATAAATGTGTGAATTTCTGTCATTATGGTTCTTTTCCATAACACTGAATGTTGTAACAAAGGTAACAAAGAGTTGGTTATTATTATTAAGTCTCTTTCCGGCTCAGACTGCTTAGAAAGCTTATGGGTCTGTCACGTGATGAATGAACGACTCAAACCCGAAGATTCGAGAGATGAACTAATCAATTCACGTTCCGGCTCAGACTGCATTGGTTAAAGCTTATGGGGCTGTCATGACTCGAAAAATGAATGAATGACTCGGAAAAACCCGAAGACTCGAACCAGGTGAACTACTTGACTAATTCCAGTACAGAACCTATAGGATGTTGCGCATGCGTGACTGAACGAATCACTCCCCAAGACGACTCGTTCTTCCCGAGTCACATTAAAGAGTCGGTCAAAATGAACGAATCATTCAAGAACGACCCAACACTATTCAGCGCGAATGTTTCACTCTCCTCGTCACTGCACGGTTTGACGCTCTGCTATTCCGATCTATGAATGTACATTCCACTCGTGTACCGCTCATGCTCATCGGAAGGACTATACATTATTTGGATAATTAGTAAAAAAAAAACATCTGATTCGGTTACATAGAAGTGAATAAAAATAATATATTGATATTTAATATTAAGGTAACACTTTTCAATAAGGTTCCATTAGTTAATGTATTAACCATCATGAACAAACAATACATTTATTACAGTATTTATTAATCTTAATGTTAGTTAATGAGAATAGTTATTCACTGTTAGTTCATGTTAATTCAGAGTGCATTAACTGTTAACAAGCACAACTGTTGATTTTAATAATGCATTAGTAAATGTTGAAATTAACATGAACTAAGATTAGTAAATGCTGCAGAACTATTGTTCATTCTTAGTTCATTAACTGAAGTAGTTAACTAATGAACCTAATTGTAAAGTGTTACCAATATTAATATAAATTCTGTCCAGTTTTATTGTGTTACTTTCAGTAAAAGTGTGGTTATTTTATTGGCTGGTGTCTTTTTAAATTCAGTATCATTAAAATAGAATTAAATTAAAAAAGTTAACAATTTCTTTATATTATTTAATAAAATAATAAATAATTATTACAAAGCATTTTAAAAACGATTAATCGAGTAATTGGGGGCGGGGCTTCTGCGGGGGCGGGGCATGGCCGTAATGATATAATGAAAAAATCTGAAGACTGTTATGAAAATGAATGTTAAAAATAAAAATATGACATGAAAACCTGTCTATGAAAGCATGAACGCATGATTAGGACATGTTAGATTATGATTATGATGAAGCAATGTTATTAATAAAGAAGCATCTAAAAAGGAATAGCTGCCTGAGGTGAAGAGTGACTTTATGCCAATAAACTGAAGCTCATTCTATGACACATCCTATGATAAATCAGATAACTTAGATACATAGCAGACGTAACATTACAACTTGTATCTGCACAATAGGATGCTAAGTTATGCGCTAGACAGAGAAATTTTAGATATTGTGTGTGTGTATAATATATAATAAATATATCAATAAATGATCAAATATACATTTAAATGCATATTAATATGTACTGAGCTTGGCCCAATTGGTCCAGATTTTACTCTAAGGGGTTGCTGACTTGTACTGAGAGTGAAACCCAACCCTGCTTTCAATTCATGCATTATTCAAGAAAAGGAAACTGCAATTCCACTTTGCATGCATTGTAAATATTAAGGAAACACCGGTTACAATCAGAGCCACGGATCACTTTGAGGCAAAAGGTTTTGCAAACCTGCTGCTATGCTGACCGATATAAAAACAATTGGCACAAAGATACAAAGTAAATCACAGGTTCAGCTTCATTTACAACCATGTGGCCTGACAAACCCTCCAGTTAGCCTTCAGAATAAAAAGGTCATTATTAGCATGACACCGTTTGATGTTGTTTTAATCTGGCTGTGTCCATTATACTCTGCCGACACAATCAGCTAAAACTGAGTGCATCTTTCTGCCCTCTCCATTTGATCAGGATTTATTTATTCAGAAATTTGTACAACGCTCCTCAGATCCGGGCAATGGGAAATGTCACTCCTTGTTATGGATACAAAAGGAAGGAAGGAAGGAAGGAAGGAAGGATGAATGCAAACATTTATTGCTCGTAATTCGCTCTGATCTGAAACTGCGAATGAGGGTGATGAAGCAAAACTGGTTTACCGCAAGCATGGGAGTGGTGAGCAGTCCCCAGGCGAAGAACTCCAGGAAGATAACCACCACCGCATGGTAGACACTGGGCTCTCCAATCCCCTGTGGCTAAACGAGGAGGATTTACATTACTAATAATGTTACTACAAACAAACAAAATACAGGCTGTAATGTGAACAACATAGATAAAGGAAGCAATAAGGAGGACGTTTGGACAAAAGAAATAGGAGAAGGCATGATACACAAATATAATATATTTGACTTAACAGATGTTTTATTATCACTAAATAAACAAGATCACAGTTTGCAATAACAGGGTCCAAAGGGCCTTCAATGCCAAACTCATTATCTCACACTTACTTGCTCTTTATCTAGTGCACTGCAAAAGCTTTCACTTAACCAACCCCTAAAAGCAAAAAAACTGCCTTGCCATACCCTTACTGAAATTATGCATGCTGAACATTGGAAGTAACTTAATGGTATGCAAGAAAGCCCGACATGAATAGCTTGAATGTATTTGTAAAAGCTCTCAAAGTTTAGAAAATCAAAATATTAACTGGTGAGGTGAGTTTGAAGAGCTATTGTTGATACCTAGAGCTATTGTGTCAAACGTTTAAATCAATTTCCAGGAGTCTCAAGCTAATCACTTGTACAATAAGTCAATGATTAGAAAGCTCTGGTTATGTACAACTTGTTTATGATACAGTGTAAAACCATCTTACACTTTTTGGAAAATGCGTAGTGTTCAAATTACATAGGACAGGGCAAAGAAAACATATTTACTTTCTTAGCAAACATGTAATTTAGCCTGGTACAAAATTACCATTCAACTCAGGGGGTTTGTGATGCGAGTTTATAAAAACCTAATCCTTAATTAAACTGAATGTAACATTAAAATAAACAAACAGTGCTGCACAATTAATCAAATGTAAACTGAAATACGTTTAGTGCTTTTTAGCAATATTAATCAAAAGCAAAAGGTCAACACATTACATGTTAAAAGCTTTTGGGTTTAAATGTTTGAAAGCGAAGAAATTAAGTCAAATATTTTTTTTTGTAACTTGGAACCGTGTATTAGACCATGCAGACAAGCACAGGTTGCAAATACATGCACAAAATACCATGATTTCAGGGTGTATAACAAAATTTAGTTTATCTTTATAATTAATCTTAATGCCCTTGTAGTCTTTTCAGACATTTTTGAGTTTAAGGCCTTTAAAGATGTATTGAGAAGTGTTTCCTTAATAGATAATGGTGCCATGGACTATACAGTATATCATGGGAATATATCCTACTTGATCCATTACAATTTGACAGCCCATTAGCAGCTGTCTTGACATTTTAAGGCCAAATCGACTCTTTTTAAAATAAGTTTACAACCAAAACACCATGATAAAACCATAAACACATAATTCTTATAGAGAACACATCAGGTGAACTGTCGGACAAAACATGTCATAAAAAGCATGTTGATTTCTATCCTAATGGGACACCCACTTCTGTCACTGGTGGTCACCATAAAGACTACTGCTCTTACTAAATTATGAATTATCCTAATTTCAAGGTTCCAGTTTCATTTCCAGGTTTTAAGCATAAGGTAACTCACTCGATGTCAAACCGCAAGCCATGACTGACCTGGTTGGCTTTCTCGCCAGCTGGCTTGTTGTTTTTCACTGTTGGCTGCCTAATGAAACTATTGTCTCTCACAAATTACTGTTCATTTCTTCTCGTAAGTAAGAAGAAACGAGTTTACCAGAAGGTGCCAGACAAGCTGCAATCGAAACGACATTCAATGTAGAGCTGTTACAGCTCATCCTGTAAAAACCATACAGTCTATGGTAAACACTTGCTTAGCTTGCTAGCCCTGACTAGCATATGGCTAACTGCCACAAAGAAATGTTTTACTCACAGTGCCTCCATCTTTAATGATGATTTTCTTGGCTAGAAGAATGCTGCGGTTCAGCCGCTTTTTCTTCTTTTTCTCTCCAGTCATTGTTAACTTATATCCATTCTTGTTTGTGGGAGATGGACCTGCGAGGTGTGGCTAAATATTACAGTTTTCCGTTAGCATCCACGCTAAGATATGCGACTTCCTGTCCTCAGTCCTCGCTCTCGGGAGTCCGGCCCATATTTCTCAATGCGTTCTTCTTATTGGTCAATGTCATACGGGAGTGGTTTTCCTCGCGATTTGATTGGCTGAGTATATCGTCCGTGCGAGTGAGCCCAAAGTGCTTATTACCATAATCGGGTACACAAAACAATGAGGAATCCCTCTGTCTTGTAAACTGCTGACTGTTGAGCTGTTTTTATCGTGTTATCCTCTAACAGCCTGGGTGTTGCCAGGCAAAAAACTCTGGGGATGTTATTTTGTTATTTTAGAAGAATAAACGACAGTTCACAATCATTTTGTTGGATCTTTATATTGGATGTCTTCAATGCCACCAGCAAAACTGAAATCATTTGATTTAAATGTACATAACATAAAAACATTTACAGTCAAGATGTAGCAAGATGTTTTCTAATTTATAATCTGCAGCATTAACCCAGTTTTGACACACCTGTTGTAACCATTTCTCCTCACTAGAGCGGAATATATCAGAACTATCCTTACAGTATAAAACATCTGCCTTTATGACACTGACATTTTCTCACAAATTTCTCCTTAAAACAAAAGTAAATTGACTACTGATAAGAGAACATTTTAGAATCTGCAGTGGATAACTGCATTAAAAAATGCATATATATCTTGCAGCAGTTTCAACAGTGCACTTCACACAGGCATGCAAGAACAGCAATGATACTTCCAACATCTCATCTTTAAAAAAAAAAGAATATTAAAATAACTCATCAGATTTGATTTAATTGAGAAAGCACTGGTTTTTCATTACTATTTACACCACATACAGTAATTTCACAAAAAAACTTAGAATAATGCATTAAGAGAACAGTCCTCTACAGTTTCTTGTTTGCATAAATGAAGAATGAAGAACTATGACAAAATAGAAAAAAACTGTTAATAAAATATTTTGAACAATCAAAAATGTTGCCAAGATTAGAAAGAATGCTTAAATAATCCAAGCAAAACAAAGCACAAAGTAATTATGGCTTTTAAGATTGAAAAAAACACTTGTGTTTTACAAATGTATTCTAGAAACACAACACAACATGCTATAAGATCACTTGCATGAACCTGGCATTTGATTTATTCCTCAAAACAAAGTGAGTGCTGATGCTGATAGATATGTCAGAAATGGGACACCGACTGTTGCTTGAACCGTTGCAGGAAAGACAAAACACAAAGTAATTATGGCTTTTAAGATTGAAAAAAACACTTGTGTTTTACAAATGTATTCTAGAAACACAACACAACATGCTATAAGATCACTTGCATGAACCTGGCATTTGATTTATTCCTCAAAACAAAGTGAGTGCTGATAGATATGTCAGAAATGGGACACCGACTGTTGCTTGAACCGTTGCAGGAAAGACAAACATTTGCATAGATTTTAGAATATGCTCTTTTTGGTGTAACAATGTCAAACATCCTCATCTATAAAAGGTATGTCAAGGTCTGAAAATCTTCTCTTGCCCTGATGGCCTGCAGAAACGGAGGCGCCGAGGGATTCTGCACCGTCTTGGCTCTGGATGACACACATGGACTGGACTCCTTCTCGGCGTGAGGCGGAGCGGTTTTGGTTCCGTTCCTCAGCAGGCTCTTTGATCCCTGTTTCGGGATCATGTGGTTTAGCAGGTTTTTCTGGCTTAGAGCTGTTCAAGGCAGTGTTTCCTGAAAGAGATGCTTTGGATTAGCCACTGGTGACTAAATATATTAACACAATATTGTAAATTTTGAATAAAAGCAGCATTGCAAACCCATGGTTAGAGAAACAGCAGGTTAAATAACTGAAGCTCAACAAACAGCTCACCGAAACAGCAGCGAATCCAAGCCCTCTTTAACACAGAGCATGCGGGGCGTCCAAGCATAATGTAATTAAAATGTCCTGTACCTCAGTACTGACCTTCCGAGTCCAAACTCACACAATGGTCTTCTAGTAGACTATCAGAGCTGACTAATGATTCTGAGTCCATGTTCTCAGCATCAGAGCTATCCTGGTCAAACTCAGGCAGTCTGAAGGCCAAATCGTTCCTAAACGACAAACAGGAGATTTTATGAACTGTACAAGAGGTATTAATAATTCTCAAAAACATCAGCACAAGCCTAATCTGTGCCATTGGACAAAGGTTACTGAGGTTTGAACATAAGATCAAAATGCACATGTGAACTGACACTACTTCACTGTAAGTTAAGCACTAGAAACAAATAACAATTTGTAATTATTTTCCCAGGAATTTCCCAAGAATAATTAATGAATGAAACAATGTTAAACACTTATTTCTCAACGTACTTTTCCTTCTTAATGGACTTGATTCTCTCAAGCAGGTTCTTTTCGATTTCAAGGTTGGCTCCGTCCACTGAGGAGACGTCAGAACCTAATTTTGGCCTCTCAAATATCTAATGGAAAATGAGATCATGAAATCATGATAGGTTAGAGCCATGAGGTGTACTTTGCTAACTGTTATACTAAAGGGGCTAATTATTAAGACTAGAAATGGCATATACATTTAAGCAATGAGGTACGTAAGGCTTCACTCCATTATGAATAGTTAGCCACAATGTGTCACGGGTTGTCTACAGCTACGACAGTATTCAGAATAGCATAATCTTGAGTGGTTTACTTCTTTTATAAAATGGTTACCACATACTAAAAGTATTAATTACACATTCTGATGTGATTCTTAATGAATCTGAAATATTAAGTATCTATTTTATATAGAATCTATCTTTCCACTAGAAAAAAAGTCTCATATCTACCAAGGATGAATTTATTTGTTTAAAAAATACTATTTAAAACAACTGTTTTCTATTTGAATATATATATGCTGATTAGATGCTCAGGAAACATTTCTTATTATTATCAATGTTGAAAACAATTTTCTGCTGAAAAGTTTTGCGGAAACAGCGATATTGTTTGGCATTCTTTGATGAATAAAAAGTACAAAAGACCAGCATTTATTTAAAAACAAAAATCAGTTTAATCAATTTGTCAATTTGATCAATTTAATGCCTACTTGCTGAATAAAAGCACTAATTTCTTAAAAAATAAAAAAAAAAGTGTATTTTGCAACCTAGCATGTTATGGGTTTCTTACCGTGTTCTGCCTTCTGAGCTTGAGCTGTTTAACGGCCATAGCTTCTGCATTTTCCAACTGCTGAATTTCTTCCATTTTCTGATTATAACGCCTTGTTTGCTCATTAATCAGAATCTCCACACAACTGCACATAAATGTTAAGTTAACCATAAGGTTCATATGTGAGGCAATGTAGTCAAAGTTGGCAAAATATTGGCCTTTTTACAAAAGTGTTGGCCAATTAACAATTAATCGGTAATAATTAACAATTTATTTGCTTACACAATTTATGTATTTTTACCTTTTCCTGTTTTACTACCAACCACCAGTACCAAGTCAAACCATACAAATCTAATTATAAAGAATAACAAATAAACCAAAATGATTCTCACAGAGTGGTCTTGTTTATATCTTTCATACTGAGAAGTGGGTCAGAAGAATCTGGGCAGCGTAAAATGCAGGGTGCAAACACGATAGCCAGAGCGTTAACGGACATTCGATTGTGAGCTTCCTCTTTTGCCACTCTAAATATAAAAAGAAAGTACACAAGTGGTGAGGCAATGCACAGGATGTCTAATATTCACCTTAGTCATATGCAACAGTTCCTTACTTCACAAGATGAAAAATAAGCCTTTCGAGAGTAGAGAAGTTTGGGGGAGGTAGTTCATCCAACCTTCGGTAGACAGCACGCAACCGCTCAGATTCTTCTGGCAGATCTGGAGGGGAAGAAAATGTGCCATTCTTTCTAAAATATGTGGCATTCATGTTTAGCCTTCACACCAAAAATTGCATGTGGTGAAAAACCTACCCGCAGCATACAGGAAGTCATTGTAGAGGCTGTATGTCATAAGTGGGTCGGGTAGCTCCCGTAACCACTGTTTGACCAGGCCAGTGATTGTGTGGATGGGGTAATTGTCAAAACTGACAGCCTGCGGACCTGGGGAGATAAAAAACTTTTTAATGCACAAAGGTTAAGCAAAATAATAGATTCTAGTAAATAGTAAGCACATGACAAAAGGTTGCAAAACTCAAAAATGATTATCTGCTGAAAATTACAACAGATTTTGAGAAATTTAGCATCACTTGCTCCTCAATGGATCCTCTGCAGTGAATGGGTGCCATCAGAATGAGTCCAAACAACTGATTAAAACATCACTATAATCCACACAACTCCAGTCCATCAGTTAAAGTATTGTGAAAAGCTGCATTTTTGTAAGAAACAAGTCCAATATTAAGTCCATAATCCATGATAATGTATCCTCAAGTGAAAAAGTCAATCCCTTGTCATTATGTTACAATCAAACCATTTTGTACTGTTTTTGCATGTAAACGGTGCTTGATCTGTGCATATTTCTCTCCTGATTCAGACAAGATTACTTTGGATTTTGGATTGCTCACTGAACAAAGCAATATTATGAATAGAGGATTTATATTTTAGCCAGAAGCACCGGTCTGAAGTTAAACTACATCTCGATGGATTGTTTCTTACAAACAAGCAGCTTTTCATTTCACAACATGTTGATTGATTGACTGGATTATGATATTTTTATCAGCTGTTTGAACTCTTATTCTGATGGCACCCATTCACTGAAGGGGAACCATTCGTGAGCAAGCGATGTAATGATAAATATCTGAACTATTCCTTTAAAAAAAAAAATCACTTTAAGTACCTTCTAATTTCTGATAATTAGGTGTTAAAGTGCATTTCTTTATTTAGTTATAGAGCCCATTTAATTTCCAAAGTGCTTCACTATCACTAACACACATGCATAACATATAACCAAAAAAAAAAAGAAATGGGTAAAGAAAACGGTAAATAATCAAACAATCAATTGAAATCACACTATTACTTTTCTCTAATAAGTGATGAAGCTCTTTGGCTCGGCAGACTGAGCCAGATTTGCGGTAGATGCCCTCTGTGTACAGTCCGTTCATTTCAACATGAACCAGCATCTTCTCCATGACGAATGGTACAGAGTCAGCTGTGCGGACCAGGGCACAGACAGGTACACCAAAGTGGAGGGTCTGCTCACCATCTTTCTAAATAATGGAAACACACAAATAAACTGTAACTATATGATCTAACACATCTTTGATTACAAATAGAAATTCAACTTCTGTCACTATCTACGCTATCATGTTAGCGAGGTTGAGAAGATGAAGGCAACGGTGTGTAATACTACGTCAAGTAATATGACAGCAGTGCTCACCTTCCTGTCACAGTGACCTGTGCAATTTACGGTTATCTTGCTCAGACACTTCTTATGACACACCATTTTACAAGCTGAAACAGAGAAAACAGCATAAAGTACCGCTGTCTGGATCCTTGTCCATTCACGTAGTTTAAAGAAAAAGGATGGTGGATACTTACAGCTGCACATGAAGGCCTTTTCCATTCCCCATATGAATGAGCTGCACTGGTCACATGATTGCATAATGGTCACCTGGTATGTGCTAAATAAGTGACCCAGTTGGCTGTCAGGCTTACAGACAAAACAAAAGTTTTTTTGGAAGAGGTGCAATAAATATTCACATCATATATCATAAATATAAATGTGTTTCCGTGTCACAAAAATAACTTACACATGTATCTCTTTTAGATTTTCTTCTATTCCTCTCCTTAACCTGAAAATTAGACAGAAGGGCACATAAGCGAAATTCAAGGATAAATGATAACTAGTTTGGGTCAGATTAAGAATTTTTTTTAAAGAATCCTTTTTTTTTTTTTTGCATGAAATTGATCAACTGTATAAGAAACATTTTTCAAAAACATTAGAAAATTTGCTAAATTGGATGCAATTGGGAATTTTTTGTGTAAATCTAAAGTCCTCTATGGAATTCTGCAGGCACAGATTCTTCAAGGATCTAGTGATAACTTGCCTTCTCAAAAAATATTTAAGCAGAGCTAAGCTTCTGTGGAAATCTTTACAACTTGTTAAGTTACCTTACAAGGCTCTGCCTCCAGTCGTTTGAGCTCTCCCCTGATAAATCCATCCAGAACTGACTGAAAAAGATTTACCACCAGCGGCACCTCAGATGCTTTCTTCAGCCCTGCAAGACTGGATACCCTTGTCTGGTAACCTGACATCAGGGTCTTGTAGCCAATATTGGGATTCTTTTGCGCACAGGAAACAGGTCATTTCAAACACTTGCCGAAAAACAAATTTGATCTACTGCACTTGTGAAACTATGATGAGAGTAAGGTTATAAATGAGCACAGATAAACTTACTGATATGGAGTACATGCTTTTGATGGTGTCTCTGAACTGTGTGGTGGCTAAAAAGAAGACTTTCTCCGTTTCTGAGAGCTCCTTTGTGCGGGTGCTTAGATCGTTCATCTGGATTCAACACCACACCAAACAAATTAAGTACTTAAAAGTGCAAAGTCATGACCATCAACAAACTTCAGGAACTCAGAAAACAACTTTTAACAACTAGGGTGTCAAATCCAACTTTAGAATTAAAATCCAAATGCCTTTCAAAAAGTTGAAGAAGAATATAAACATCAACACAAACCTGATTTCCCAAGAACTCGTCCAAATGGCGAAGTTCATTACTGTCAGTGATTTCTCTGTCCAGTGAAGCATTCCACTTCTCCTGGACACGAGTAGCTCGGCTGATTTTAATGGTGGGGTTGCGACGGGGTCCAGGAAAAGTGGCTGAGCTCTTGACATGTGGAAAATTAGAGTGAGAGCCACTGGCTTTTGGCCCGAAGAGAGAGATAAATGAGAGAAGAAGAGGTAAGTCATTGCAACTGAAACATTTACTCACAACTGGTCTACTAAATGCATTTTTCTTAACTTATTTTTTATTCATTCATTCAAATATTTAACTAATTCATGAATAAGTAAATACAAGATTAATTTAATTATGACTGAATGAAGTGGGTCTGGGAGAATAATTCAACCTAGCTCCTCTTTTTCTGCCAATGTCTTTGCCATAGTTATATTCCCATCCTGGGGTGTCTGACGCTTCTTAAAATATTTTAGGAATCCCCGCCTACAAGATATAAACAGAAAAAATTATTTAAATTGAAATTCAAGCAACGCGCTTATATTATAAAATATCATAAACAAAAAAAAAAATACATTAGCTTTGATATCTCAAACAAAAGCTAGAACAGCAAGGTACCATGCTGATGGAAAAGGACTGATCACCTTTCTGGTGTGCTGGACGGTGCAATTACTTCTTCACTTGTCCTCCTTTTGATGCTAATGCACGCATCCGTTTCTACAGGTGACTGGATCTGAAAGACCACAGCAAGTTGACTCAAAAATTATCATGAAATTGCAGAAAAAAAAAGAAGTGGTTCACTAATCCAAACTCTGAATGCCTGACAATCACTCCAATCAAAATTACACATAACAATAATGAGTTTTTATAGTATATATTACTTTGTTCCCCATAGTCCCGCCATGCATTCAGATCAGCAAACCAGCCACAGACAGTTCAGGAAAAAGCAAGACAATATTCAAGCGGATGCAAAACAACAGTTTAGCTGACAACCCTTTAGCGAAGAATGTTTTCTAACCATAATGTTGACTGACAATGCAAATTGATTGGGTTTATTTCCTCAAATTAGTGCCACCACCAACCTCCCACAATGCATCCCAAGATCCATGTTGACCTTTTTTGCTATGGGTTATGGAATTTTAGCAGTATTTCATATTGCTGTACAAAATGTGTCTTGCTAAACCTGCACAAGGCCTGACAATTATGAGTAAATTAATGGAAATTACTGTTAAATTAGTTGGCAAAGCTCTTCAGAGCCACAGTATCCACAAATGTGAGATGATTCTCTGTGGCAAAAAGTGAATAAATAAGAAACTAAAACCCTCATAAAACAGATACCGGAGCTGTTAAAGCTTGGGGTCAGTTTTGAGGAAGCGAGTGTTACAAAAAAGTTATAAGGGATAGTTATAACTTAAAGTAAAGGGATAGTTCACCTAAAAATGTTAATAATGACAGAATTCTTGGGTGAACTATCCCTTTAATATAAAATAGAATGTTTATGATAAAAATATTCTAGTATATAATGTTATTTAAGACCCAAATAGTACTATAAAAGATGATTAAATCACTTCTATGATGATACTAATTGTCAAAGTCAAACAAACGTCAAAAGCATTGGTCAGTTTTTTGTATATAGAGTCAAACATTTAAAACATCTGCAACTCAACAACCACAACATTATTCTTTTTATATCTTGAATATTACTATATTCACTCATTAATCGCACCTAGCAGCAGCCTCAGTGTGTGTACAGTGTCAAAGGAAACAAAAAAGGTCAGAAACCAGCTTCCAGTCAGAAACATCCAAGAACAGGATCAGCCTGGTTTTCGAAGAGAAGTCTTTGAAATGTTCTACATTGAGCTAATGCTGATTCTCATGGTATGTTAGCTGTTGCGTGCAAAAGCAAGGCCCACAGCAGCTCGAATGGTCCCTTTGTAACTGGGTCAGTCTTTTACCACAGTCTCCAGTTCCATGCGGACACTGGACTGGTTGGGAGTGGAGGGGCTTATGGGAGGAAGGGGAAAACTCCAGTACTCCGTATCGCTTAGATCCATATGATCCCACTTCAGCCCGCTGCGGGGACGTGCTAGCCGACGTTTTTGTCTGAAGCGCTTACGGTTTTGAACCATAACCTATGATACGTGAACCAGTTTAGATGAGGGGAAAAAATTACCTGTACCTGCTGATCCAGTTATCCATAAACACTGTAAAATAATTAGTGCAGCATCTTTGAGATTCTCTCAACATACACTACCGTTCAGAGGTTTGCGGCTGGTGAGATTTTTATGTAAACTGCATATATTTTTTTCTTTTCAGGATTCTTTGATGAATAGAAAGTTTAAAAGAACATCATTGATTTGAAATAGAAAACTTTTGTAAAATTATAAATGTCTTTAAAATCATTATAAATGTCAAAAAAACTAATCTTACAGAACCAAAACTTTTGAATGGTAGTGTATATGTTGGTATACATCTGTTTTTGGGGACAAGAATAAATGAAAGTCAATTTCTTTTGGAGTTCTCACAACATTTTTGATTTAACAGACTGACCATAACTAGTTTTTGAACAGTACCTCATTTCTGGATGATGAGGCTGAGCTGTCTGACTCTGAAGAACTCATTCTGGACACATTATCCAGGGACTGAGAAATGCCACATTTCCTATCATATGAGAAATAGTAACAAATAAATAAGGAATAATGTACTATCATTAAGCCAGGAATTACTGCCTGAAAACTGAATATACATCATTACATGGCTGCTTAAATGACTAATTATTATACACGAAACATTGATGATAGTTTCAGGTACAAGCATTCAAATATACAGTTTAATGGTTATACAAAAATAATTAATTACATAATGACCAATCAGAATCAAGCATTCCAGAGAGTCACAAACTAAAGAAAAGCTAAATAAAATGAGCCTTTAATTATAAGTCTTTATTTAAAAAAAATAAAAAAAGTCCAAAACAAAACTCTCACCATAAACCTGATTTTCTCTGGCTCTGAAGTCGTAGTATCTCAGCACTGACGTTCTCCATACGTGTTACTTCACTGCTCCTCTCCTTCCATTTCTCAGGCTTCTCCTTCAACCTTGTTGTCCTGTTGTGACGTTGTAGGTGTACAGCATTTTGAGTTTCATCAGAAGCACTTTGGCTCATGTTCAGTGGAAGCGACACAGGCCGAGGAAGGCCTGCAGGAGATGGTTGTTTTTCTTTATTGCCAGTCTTGCCTTTATCATCTTGAACGGGTCGGTCCTCACTGATACTGAGTTGCTTTTTGATTCTAGTAGGCTGTACTGTGACTTTAGGCTTGGTCTCTGTGTTTGACTGCTGGCTCAGTTCCTCTGTCTTCTTTCGTTCAGGTGTGCGGGATTCATAAGGCAGCGGAGGCTGTGGCTTTGGCTGACTTGGCTTCTTTTCCTCAGCCTTGTTCAAATGGCCCAGCTCTGTCTGAGATCTGAAAGAAAGATCAAAATGACTAATATTGTTTTACCTAGAAGTAAAAAACACTCAAAGGTAACTTGGATTTACGTCGGTGCTTTGAGTTTTTCTCGCTGCTTCAGATATTCAGCTCTCTCCTTGGAAATTCGCCAGGCAGTCTGGATCACAATGGCTGCCCTGCATCGGTATGTCTCACGCAAATAACGCCACGATCGCTGAGGGATGAGAGAGGAAACATCTGCTCAGGAACATTATCATTTATTGCAGAGTTTCCCAAACAGGTCCACAAACCGTTTAAGGCTCATGACGATTCAAAATTAAAATAAATTACACAATACTGTAAAATGAGAATATTTCATTTGAACATCTATGTCTAACACAGGATGAGTCTTAAATACTATTGGTTTGTTTAAAACGAAGAGAGACTTAATTTTAAATGCATACACAACTGTTCAAAAAGATTGTGATGGTAAGAGTTATTTAATGTTTTTGAATGAAGTCTCTTATGTTCATCAAAAACGCATGTATCAAACATACAGCAAAAACAGTAATATTGTTAATTATTAACATTTAAAATGATCTTTCTTAAAATATAATTTATTCCTGTAATGCAAAACAACATTTTCAGCAGCCATTTCTCTAGTCTTCATTGTCACATGATCCTTCAGAAATCATTCTAATGCCTAGCAAGTAAATGTATCTAGGTAGTAAGGTTTTAGCTGACTTTCAGCAGACCATAATCATAACTGAGACACACTGAAGATCTGGTTGATATTATATAAGATTGTCTAAAGTCCCTAGGCAACCCCTGGACAACCAAACGAATAGTACCTGAATGGTTATAATTCCTTCCCTCTCACGCAAATATTGTTTCCTCATCAAACAGGCACGGAACCATCTCTGCAGGATGATGATGCGCCTCATCACTTCTTTATGAAGGGCTTCTTGAAGTATTTGTCTTTCTGACTCTTTCAAGAACACCTATGCATATAGATTCACAGTCAATTAAAGCTGGAAACTGATCTGAATGACAAAATGCAGATCGTGAGTACTTTAGTGAAGAGTGCAAGTAAAATAAACCTTGGTTCGGCCAATCTGAAAACTGGATCTGGGTAATCCCATTTTGGTCAGCAGGTTGGTGATATCCTGTTGAGGTGTTGATATTTCCTTTGGCAGCAGCACTCTGAACTGATCTGTAAACTCCTGCAGTGACATTGTAAAATAAGACATGTCTGTTTAAATCAAAATATGAAAGGCATTTGCATTCATGGTTCCAAAATGTATTATTTTACAATAACTAATCTTAAAGGAGTAGTTCACCTCAAAAATGATAATTTGCTGAATTTACTCACCCTCAGGCCATCCAAGATGTAGATGAGTTTGTGTCTTTATCAGAACAGATTTGGAGAAATTTATAATTACATCACTTGCTCACCAATGGATCCTCTGCAGTGAATGGGTGCCGTCACAATGAGAGCATAATACGAGCAAAATTTGTGTCGATAATACATAATAATGCTTCTTCCATTGAAAAAGTTCATCTCTTGTTCTCCTCTTACATCAAAATCCTCCGACATATTAGTTTAGAACTGCTTTTCACTGGTAAACGGTGCTTGATCTGTGTATATTTCTCCCTGATTCAGACAAGATTCACTGGAGAAAGCAATATTATAGGTAGAGGACTCATATTTTAACCTGTAGCCACTATTTAAAGTTAAAAAAGGTCTTAATGAGGCTTTCGCTTCATAAGACGTAATTTGATGGACCAGAGTTGTGCCAATTAGTTTTTTTTTTTTTTTTTAGCTGTTTGGGCCCTTATTGTGACGGCACCCATTCACTGCAAAGGATCCACTGGTGAGCAAGTGATGTAATGCTAAATTACTCCAAATCTGTTCCGATACAGAAACAAACTCATTCACATCTTGGATGGCCTGAGGGTGAGTACATTTTCAGTAAATTTTCATTTTTGGGTGAACGATTCCTTTAAATAAAATGGTTATTAATCAATTAAAACAAATCAAGCAATCAAATTAACCTCCAAACAATTGCAAACAACTGCTGAGAAGTCTTAATATGAAGAAGAAACTAAGAACATTATTTTAGCAGACGAGTAAAGCATTGAATAGACATTAAAAAAATCAATATATGCCTATTACTGGCATACAGTCCACCACAAACCATTTTGTAACTGTTTGTTAATCTGTCCCTTTTTAATGTTTTTAATCCTCTCAATGTTTTTTAAATTAATAATTAAATGCCATAGTAGCAAATTTATATAAGGATTAAGGGGCATAATCAAATTGGTTATTTAAACAGTTACTTAAAAATACTTTAAAACTGTATTAAATTCAGAGCCCTAATTAATAACTCATAATTAAAAACAGTCTATATTGCATTACCTTGAAGGTGAATTTGGCTCCATACCCAGACCTCCTTATCCGAACCGTCTGCAGCATGCCTGTGTACCTCAGCTGCTGAAGGACTAGAGCATCATCAAAGTGCATTTCCCTCTGTAAACACATTCACCAACATTGTTCTTTATATATGATCCATGACCCAATACACAAAATGGATGAATCGCAAAACTTACAACAGCTCTCCACCATACCTTATCACCATTTGATCTGATACAGCGGACAAAGAACGGTTCTGCTTTCCTCAGGGTTTCCAACAGCTTGCTTAGAGATGCCTGGACAGTTTAAGACATGAAAGCATGTGACTCATTGATTCGTCCATCAGCATCCATTAAACCCCTGCAAATCATATCAAAACCTCCCCACAGCTTTGGGGGTCTGAACCTTTTATCTCATTTACAACTACCACAAAAGAGGCTTTCACACAGAGATGGAACACACCGATCTATGAGCCCTCTGATGAATCAGCTTATGCTTTCCACACTAAGATAATAATAATATTGAACCTGGAACTGTGCGCTGATGCTTGGAGGTTTCTTCTTGGTGTGCAGATGAAGCAGAGACCTGGTCGCCCGGTTGTGCTGCGTCAGGTTCATAATGAATTTCAGAGAGTGTGAATCTATGAGATTCTGTACAGAAAACAACACAATAACATTTAGCAACATCTCTCATATTTTAACCAAGGAAAAATAATACACATACTGCAGAATAGAAAATGTATTTATTATTATTTTTTTTTAATTTTCTGAAGTGAGTCTTGCCCATGTACAACTTTGGATATACCCGAAATGAATTTTTCTCATAATTCTACAATAATTCACATAGTTCTTGTAATCTACAGGCATCTTAAATATTTTAAAATATTTAGTATTTTATATAATAAATATTTATATACAAATATATATAATATATTTTTATTATATTATATAGCTGAATTTTCAACTGCAATTACTGTGTGTTTATGAAATACCTGACATTAGCTTTGTAGACAAAAATAAATTGCGACCATGTATGACACTGAATGGTAAAATTTATTTTTATTTTTATGTATGTTATTCAATGAGCTAAACAGCCCAAAATTATCATGCGTACATGGACATGTCCTTCAATACGGTTAAAAACATTATCCTAGATGGTACCTCATAAAGTTGCCTTAGCAAAAACTACTACAACAGCAAGTTTTGACGAATGAATTTACCTTAGGAATTAGCTGCTTGTGTCTGTTTGGCCTGTTCTTCCTAGAGTGTAATAAGATACAATTAAGATTTTGATTGAAAATATTAAGATTTTGAAAAGAAAAACAAAAAAAGGGACAGAATATTCAATTTGATTTTGAAATTACACATAAGCACAAGCTGAAACAGAGAACAGTGGAGCCGCCACCGACAGATGGTCACAGAACATGTGACCCACTCACTGAGTGAAGAGACGAGACTTCCTCACAGAAATTGTGGATAGATGCAACTTTTGAGGAACTTCACCACCAAACTGCTTAAGGGATTGGAGGACTTTGGCATGCAATTCCCTGATTGACCCCAACCCCAAATCAGAAAAGTTTAGAAAGGAGATAAATACTACAAACACAATGAATAGTAAACAGCTGAAATTAGTCAGTCCAATCACCCATTTCACAGAAAATTAATCCAATCAAAAAGGAAATCAGTTAGACTCTTAATTCACAGAAGGAAATCATCATCAGATGTAGAAAAACCCAAGCCTGGTACAAAGATCCTTAAGTGATGGTGAACTTACTTCTTATTTTCAAATGTTGTAAAAATGTCCTCAAATGCTTCAAGTGGACTCTCTTCAGACCGATCAAAAGAAAAGTCAATCAAAGACCCCTGGCTGTAGAGATCGAAATGCATTTAAATGGCCATTTGTATAGATCAAATATAAAACAAACACCGCTATTTGCCATAAATCCACTAATCCAGTCCATTTACCTCTTTAGCCTCTCTACCACAGTGCTGGGTCTCCTCTTTTCCCCAAGAGAGCGTCTGGAGTAGCGCCTGACCTGATCTGATATGGAAACAAACATGTTGAAATCAATGGTAATCCACTTCTGCAAGCTGTAAGTTAAAAGGTGTCAGTAGATCGCATAGATGTTACCTGGATGTTTTTCCGCCCAGCTTCGCCCAGCCTCGTTAAACACAGCCAGTGTACGTATGGTGGCCCTAAGGATGCCCCACCTGAACACAGCCACCGGATTAGCCCCGATCAGCTGCCGCAGGTAACTGCACTCACTACTACGAAGCAACGCAACAATATCCGGCCTCATGTGGTCCGTGTTCTTCTCTCTGAAGTCCTATAGGGCAGGAACATCACAAACGTTATTCAGTATTGTTTTCCCACCATAGACACATAATTTGTTTCACAACTACACTCTTGTGCAAAGGGGAAAAAATAGTTTCAGGGTCTGTTCCTTTACCTTTATCTGGTATTTGACCTTGCCAGCAAAATGCTGGATAACAAAAGCTGGTTCCCGCACTGGGGTTTGCACAAAGAACGGATTGTCCTGGTGCTGCTGCTTGAACTTCTCTAGTAGAGTGCTATCTGTGGCTCGAGGAAAACTAGGGAGGGAATAACACAGAATATTAATTACTGAACTACTAGAAACCACATAACAAAAGATTGGCTGCATAACAATTCATATTCTGTACCATCCATCCTAACTTGTATGCAAGATACAATTCATGTAGTGGATTTGCAGAAGATATACCTTTTTCAGTGGATTTTTACAGCACGTACATGCTTTTAACAATAATTAATATACATCTGAATATTATTTTTTTGTATATATTTAATATTATTTTTTGCATTTGTTAAAAAAAGGGTATTTTTTTCCCATTATAAGGAACTAAAATTATATTAGTCATTGTTGCAAAGTAGGTCCAAAATGTTTAACTAAAACACTGTAAAACCTAAGCAACTGTACTTTCCACTAAAGGAATATTACAATACATACAGTAAGAATAAGGGATTGAACTCACTTGCTCTCCTCATCCAGCAGGTAAAACAGCCCGGTGGGTTTCTTGCTGAAGAGACTGATGCAGCCAATGTTGTCGGGGTAGTCAATATTGTGCCATGTGATTCCTTCTGCCCTGTACTCCTCCTAAAACACAATGCATGCGTGAGGCATATGCTGCAGAAATTCCCATCCACCACAATTAGTGGAGAAATCAATCAAAGTACAACTCAACTCACTTGTTCAAGCGTAAATATGCGCTGATTGCAGTAATACTGTAGTTGTTCATTGGCATAATTAATGCAGAACTGTTCGAAGCTGTTCATCTTGAAATCTTCAAACCCAAAAATGTCCAGAACTCCAATGGATAAGCGCTGTAAGGAAGATAATATTTTATCAAGTACAATGTCAAAGCAGATGCTTTCAGTTTGCCAAGTAAAGCCCTGCCATCTAAATTGTGTATGTTATATGTAAATATAATATCACATAAACAAATATACTAAATGTATAAATTACACACCGGGACAGACTCCTCCAAATCTCTCTTGTTTAGTAGAGCATGGTTGATTCGCAGGACAATCCAGTCAAACAGGGCACTGTACAGAGACTTGGCCATAGAGTCTCTGGCAGTGATGGCCTGAAGACAAGAGTTTCATTATGAGGTCAGCAGATTTTTACAGTACAGAAATGAAGAAAGACAAATGGAGAGGACAGAGCCACCTCTTCAAACAGCTGACTTCATGCATAAAGTATGACAGATATGCATTTAACACATGAAGAGTCAATTAATGGATTGTACAGAGTTGACAAATGTCAATGTCGAGTATGTACCACCTAACACATAATAGATGTATTTACCTCATTGAGACTATAAGGCAGGATCAGCGTGTCATTAGCAGTCATTGCTTTCCTTGTAGTCAGTGCTTCCACAAGCAGCTCCACTTTAACCTGTAATTGAACAGGGATGATATAAAAAGAAGCATTCAAACAGAGAATGACCGGAATCTGTCACCTGATCTAAAAGACTTTCACAGATTGTGTAATCCTTTAAATGAAATGAAATCAAAAAGTGTGAAACGAGTAAGGGCTTCGGACTGGAAAATCTGAAAGCCTATCATAAAGAATCTAAAAGAAAAAAACCTGCTAAGAGTCCTCTAAAAATCACGATTCAGGGTTTCTGATTCTACAATATGCATTGAATATGATATGTGAATGCATATTTTGGTTTCGCTTAGTAATGACGATGCTGCTACTTAGCCATGTAGTTGTGATGACCCAGTAAATTAATAGATGTCACTGCACAGTATTTCCAAAGAACTGGGGGGGTGAGGTTTACTGTTGAATATTACTATTTAAAGTAATTCTGTTTCTGTGTGGTGTACCACAATGAATAGAAAAATATTTGAACCAGTAGAGGGAAAGACTCTTGTGATGAATTTATCTTGAACACTAAAGTAGCCAGTGGTACCTTGAGCAGGTCAGAGATTGCATAAAGGACACGATCAGGCCCAACTTTAAGCCCCTCGCCAACATCTTTTGGCTGATACGTCACATTTCCCAGGTACAGAATGGCAGAGAGTACAGAGAATATCCTGGAAAAGACAATCAATCATTGAACTACAATACAGTATGAAGTATATTTATAAAATATATTTACTTTCTTCCCAAGGTGCCTCAAGGAATCACATGTCCAAAAAACAATGCAGTGGAATGTTTGGTACTTTTTTAGGTAAATCGAATGACACGAGAAAAGATCTTGAATAATTGAATACATTTCCTATTTTGTCTGAATAATTGTGTTTCTAACAGTGTATAAATAATTATTAGTTAACAGATTTATATAACCATATTTACATAAGGAAACATTGCTGTTCCTTGGAAGACAGCTCATAATGATCTAAATATGTCAGGTCTGACGTTGCAGTATTGCATTCTTTTGTCATGGCAAAAAGAGCACAGTGCATATTGAAAGGCTTGATATATTTTTTCCCTCCATGACAAGCACAGACTTGTACCAGAGCAGAATTCTTCATTTGTTAGTCACGCAAGCAGCTTGTAAATTTTCTGCAGTGTGACTTTATCCTTCTAGGACAAACTAGGGATGCGCCGATCCGATATTCATATCGGGTATCGGCTCCGATAGTGCCATTTTTCTCGGATCGGGTACCGGGCAGAGAGAGCCGATCCAAATCTGAGAATTTTTTTTTTTTTTCTTCGATTGTGCGAATTATTCTGTGTTACTTCTGAAGCCATACGATAGCTTAATGTGAGCTACATATGAATATTTAAGTCCTTACATTAAAGTTCACACAAACTCTTTTCTCTGCTGTGGCTGTCAGTCATTCATTCAGCCTTTAAACCCTGGTCGTGTTCGGTTACAGCAGTCAGCTCGGTAAAGCTCTCTCTAAGATCATTCTGTGTTCCCATTATACTTGATTTGTAAATACATGTCTATGATTTTACAAAAAGGACTTTATCTTCTTGCCGGAGTTTAATGTTTTGTTACTTGCTACCGGGTGTCTGTGAGAACAAAACACGGGCGTAGAAAAGACTATAAATTGTTTTTAACGTGCACAGTAACTGAAATTGAAAACTGTTAAAAGAAAGGCTCAATAACTGTTGCACAGATATAATACACTACGCATCAATCTCTCTTCCCTTTGTGCTTTGCAGTTTTAAACACGAAGCGTAAGCGCTTATTCGTGCTCATAGACTGTCAACCCTCTACATTGCGAGTAAATCACTCGCATATGCGACTAAATGATGTCTAATATTAGCCAATGGCTAATAAATTCTCAGATTTTACTCGCCAGTGTGTGAGTTGGAGGCTGAGTATATGATTAGCACAGATATATTTTCACTCACAGAACACTCTGACTGAGCACTTCAGAGTTTCACTCTCTGTCAAGCGATCTGATATTTTTCAGTTCATTTGAATGGATGCGCAGCGCACCTGTGTTTGTGTATTTGGTGTAATGTGTTTCTAGTGTGAAGGCACACGACTCGCCGTCGCTTTTTCTCACTGTGAGTAAAGAGCGAGAGCGAGCCAGAGTCTTACATAACATGCAGAATTGATGCGCTACATGTAAACGATATACTTTGTTGTATTTTCCAATGAATGGATTTTATAATAATACAAATAGCAATGTGTAACATGTTACTTATATATAAATACATTCATGAATGTTTTTAATGAATCGATTACTATAATAATAGCAAATAAAAAAAATATAAAATATAATATTAAAATTAATATATTAAAAAAAATAATATAATAATACAAATAGCAATGTGTAACATTTTACCATATTTAGCACTTTTATTTGTTCCCCACAAAATATTGTTTTTCACTAAATGTTTGGATTTCTAAAATTATTGTGCACTGATTTTTCTAGAATAACTTTTGCTGCCGAATTATCCACTAACCTAGTTTATGATAAATTTTTGTCATAGATTATAAATATACATAGGCCTATATTTTTTCATATTTGTTTATTTTATTTTTCTTTATAATGAAGTAGTCTGTATCTAGTAGATTGTGAAAGAATGATTATCAGTTCCACACACAGAGATATATAAATTCTACATTTATTTAAATGAGGGGAAAAAACTTCACTGGTATCGGATCGGAATCGGTATCGGCCAATACTGAACCCTAGGTATCGGAATCGGTATCGGAAGTGAAAAAGGCGGATCGGAGCATCCCTAGGACAAACCTAATTAGATGTCAGAAATCTTATTTATACTGAAGTAATCTGTACATATATTTACTATTTATGGGTAATTGTTAATGTACAGTGGTTTAAACAGAGCTAAATAAATATTTCAGATTAAGCATAATACAAAAATTAAGTTTGAGTTCATTATAAACATTATAATTTATTACAATTTAACCTCTGAGACAACTGTACTAAAATAATTTAAGATTAATTAACTTAATTTCAGAATCTTAGTTTCAAAATCCTGCATCCCCATCATAATATTTTACTTGAAATCGCTTCTCACTTACTGCTTTTTGGTCGATGGCAGAAAGCCAACCATCTCCATGGCCTGATCAAGTCTCCTGAATTCATGTTTCATTTCTGCTTGATCCTCCGCAATTGGGATTTCCTTTGAGGGGCGGAAAAGTGAAGAATTAATGTTAAGTATTAAAAAAATAGTTATATAAATAAAATGGACAGGTCAGCCCAGAAAACATAGTCTTGAAAGAATTTGACTATTACAGTGTTTTATCAAACTTAAGCAGAAGTCTCTATTTGCTCTCTGTGTCATCTCACTTTTGCCCAAAAGACAATCGAGAGCATCATGAACACTAATTGAAACTAAAATGGCTTTGTTAGGGAACACTGATTCTCTGTGAAGGCTGTTCTGAGAGTTACTTCTTTGAGGTAGTGGTATTGTTCAGGATGCAGGAGCTTGAACTCATCTTTCTCCTCTTCTGAGGCTCCAATCAAAAGGTAGTAAAAAACATGGTAATTCCTGAAGGTCAGATAACAAACAGACACGGAATGTATGATGTTGTGATACATTTTTTAACATTTTCAATTTAAATGTAAAATGGATATAGATAATGGTTTCCAATTTTTTATTTTTTTACCTTTCAGTTTTGCCTCTGGACACTAGGCGGCATTTCTCTAGTAAATATTTCTCAACAACAGCCCTAAAACATTGAGCAAACAGTTTTAAGAATTTTAGATCAATTCAAATCAATGGCATGTAATTTTTTTTATTTTTTGCCAATTTTCTGAAAAGAAGGGGAATGAGATCAACAAATGTTGTATGGTGGTTATGAACATGAATTAGCAGTATTACATAATATTTATAAATTAACATTATCGTCACAAGATAAAATACATTAGCATCAAGTGCAGAAAATCTCCTATGTGACTGATGAGAAGCTGTGGGAGTTCTGGTGTGTGACGTAGAATGGGCAGAAGTACACAGATGACTCACCCTCTCACAACGCCGCTCTCCAGATAATTCACTTGAATGAACTTCCCAAAGCGGCTCGAGTTGTTGTTGTGTGCTGTTTTAGCATTTCCAAAGGCCTGAGAAAGCCAGAAAGGAATGCATTAGAGAGGCAAATTGTTTTAATCTCACAGAAAAATATTTCAGACTAAAAAACAAACAAACACTGATATGAGTTTCATGAATGTTGACAGACAAACTCTTGTGTTGAGACAAAGATGGTGGCCTAACTTAATCAGTTCAACTAGCCTTTAAAACTTGTCGAACAGAGAAACTGGATCTGAAACCACAGCCAACAGCAGAATATTACTATTATTATTAGTTGTTCAAACCACAGAATGTAGGTTGTCGTAGATTACAAAAATGAAATAAATAAAAAAAACATTTAGTGGGCAGCACAGAGCTACTTTAATATCACCCTTATCACAAACAAATGAACACATCTATCTTAGATGGGTTTGTTGCCCAGTTTGACTTGCTTGTTGATGTAGTTAATGCTGATTTATGTGTACTATTCCTCCTATTCCAGTTAAAAGCAATAGTTCATCCAAAAATGAAAAATCCGTCATCATTTATTCAACCATGTCATTTAAAACATATATGACACTCAGTGACATACAAATTAAGATGTTTTGAACCACTCTTTTTGATACAATGAAAACACGACAAGGTTCCAAAATGCACAAAAAAGTACTCAAATCACTTGTTTGCTACATTTAAGTCTTATGATAGCGGTGTGAACAAAATACTAAAATTTGAGTCATTATTCAGTGAACATATAGCTCTCTTTTTGCCAGAACAATGGCAGATAAGGGGAGTCTTTGAGAAATTATATCTGATATTTTGTTTTGTGCCACAAAAATTGAAGAAATTGCATACTGCAATTTTTCAACTAAATTTTCTGTAGACAGACTTTGGCATGTGTAACATGTAACGACAGGCTTGCTCACTGCTCCCTATTGATTCTCAATATGTGCATACTTTCAAGACGATCTCTACATTACCATCATTCAGGACTTTATCCTGTTGTAAACTTGTTTTTAAACATACAGCTTCCCTGTTCCACTTCCATGTTCAAAGGAAAGTGAATACTAAGGAAACGCATTAATAGAAAGAAAACTGAATGAGAGGTTGCATCTGTCAGTTGTTAAGTTTTAATCAGCTGGCCTGACTGAACCTGTCATGACATGTTGGTGTACGCCAACTCGTTCTGGTATTCTGAAGCCAACACCCAGGGCTTCCACATATGACACAAAAAATTCAGAGTTAGAAGCTCAACAACAAGAGTGAGATCAGGCCCAACACTGATGTACATCTTAAACAGCTGCTAGGTGTGTTTTCCCATAGAGCTCTTTCTTATGTAAAAGGACAAAGGTCACAAGCGCACTCCTCAGATGCCATAACAGAGCACTGGCACCTCTCACGACTATCAAGTAAAAGTGAAAACTGAATTGCAGAAAGTGAGAGTAAAAATTCAATGCAAGTGCAACAAGTTTTATTCTCAAAACATGACATGACCCAGTTTTTTGTGACCCATTTTTGTTTCTCAAAAACATCTGTTTAGTATGTTTTCAGCAGTAACCCTAAATATGAGCAATTGATGCAAGCAAAATGATGCTTGCATTATAATGCCCATAATTTCCATAATGTAAAATCAACCACAATGACAACGTACATCCCATCTTACCTTTCTGGATCTTTTTCAGAAATATACCTCTTCTTATTTTGTTACAAAAAATTGGCCATTAAGAAGGACTATCTTTTTAACACAGGACCAATTTAATAATTTCATAGAGTTTTCAAATCTGTTTGAATACCTAAATAGGACAATGCTAACTGGATATCTAATGAAGAACTCTTTAGGTGAGGAAAGCTGTAAAATGATCTGCTCAAGGGCTAAGCTCTATGAACCAAAACATAAAACACAATTATTGCGGTGGTGGAGTCTCTAGAGCGGATGCATAATAGATAAACAGCACCATGTGTAAATAACACTACCAGACAAACAATGTGCATATTGTTGTGAGGGGTGTACGTGAACGCAATACACAAAGGTCTCTATGAATGAGTGAAGCGGTAGACAGGGACAGGTGTTTTTAATTCAACAAAACCAAAGGAGGATAACATAGAACTCAGTAATATGAAGCAACACTTATTTGTACCAAAAAATCTCTAAGCACTAACAAGTTTGTGTATTTTTTAGGGATGCACCGATGTATCGGCCGCCGATATTTATCGGCCGATTTTTCCTCAATTTTCAACCATCGGCATATCAGCTATATAAAGAAAAAGGCCGATATAACAAACCGATAGTTTATTAATTAACTGCGTGAAGGCACTGAGCTGTATAATGCCTGTTGCATAATCCTAGCTCTGCAGTCTGCACGAGAAGTGCACTTTAAACTCTCTCTCTCAGTTGCATTATCATCAACAAACAGCGAATTACACAAAACACTTATTACAACTAACAGTAAACAAATATATACAGATCTCATGCGAAGAACTGCGTGCTTTCATCACCCATATAGCTCCGTAGACTAGACCCGTCAAAATAAGAGTCCCGCCTTAGTAAAGGAGATCTCATACATATAATTAAAAACGTACAAAAAAATATTAAAATGTATACAAAAACAAATTAGAAGATTAATCATAATAAAGTCTGTTACAATAAAGGATTAATATGTATTTAATTTATACAGTGAAGTGTTATTTTACATTTGTTTACTTTATTTCTGTACCTGAAAACTGTTAAACCTACCCAAAAAGCACTGTTTATTTAATATGTATCTTTGTTCTGTTGTATTTATGTAGGCCTGTTAAATTTTAAATGGAACCAATCCATGTTCATTATTTGATGATGCAGCAATAAAACTGCTAGTATAATTTAATGCAGATGTTTTTGCACTTTGCTGATTTAAAACATGATCAAAATACTATCTATTTTGAAGCCAAAATTTCAAATAAGAGCGGAAGCGACAAATATCGGTATCGGAATCGGCCAATAAGTGTTTGTTAAAATCGGTATCGGTCCCAAAAAATCCTATCGGTGCATACCTAGTTTTATATTTGTTCATATTTAAAAAAAAAAAAGATGAATAGAAGAGTTCAAAAGAACAATTTTTTTCATACTTCTTAACTGTGACACTGTGACTTAATTTAATGCATCCTTGCTGAATAAAAGTATTAATTTCTTTCAAGAAAATAAAAACTTTTTGTACAGAAGTACAGAAGTGTTCCCAAATTAATGTCCCAAGTTAATGTTAACAAATGGAACCTTATTGTAAAGTGTTACCAAGTACTTAATCTTGGAACAAGAAGACTTCAATGATTCATTTCAGGAGCATGTTTTATTTATCATTTACTAAGGCACATGAGATCCAATAATCATCTAATATATTAATTTAAATGCGCATGAAATATTTATGGTCACACACAACCTCAGGCGTATGATGATAAAGTTTCACCAATCCCACTCTGTTTGCTTGTTCTGCTTCTTCTACCCATTACACACAACTACTCAAAACATAACCCTTTTTCTTTTTTTTTTACCATCCCTCTTTATAAGAAATATAGCCTATTTTAAACCAGCAAGGCATAACGCAAGCTGCTTGTTCCTCTTTGCCATTTACTTTCTTTGTAAGAAGTACTGCAGAACTGAGAGAGGCTGGGTCGAGCTGATAAAAGAAAGCTTTTACGAAAAACAGAACTTGCTCAACCTGTTTAGGATCAGATTGAGAATCCCAGTAGGTTAGTGCATGACTGACAGCTGTGTTTAAGAGGGCGGGACTTCAAGCCACATTAAGGAAACCCAATGAATTATGAGTTATTTCCTCAAGAGAACTTCATTGGCACATTAGTAGCACTTCATACTAAATCCTGAAGAGGACATTTAGGAAGTGGATTATTCAGAGATATATACCATACTTGTATTGAATATATTGTATACACAATGGAAAACTCCTAAGAGTGTTGTGAACTAGTCATTCATCTCATTGTTTTGAGTATTAACAATGGCAGCACCTATAAATATCAGTGTGTTGAAACCCTTAAACTGTGACTGAGATTTTCATGATTTATAGCGTCTATTTATAGTGTACAAGGAGTCAGAGGTCTCCCCTTTTCTCTGGGAGAAGCAGAGGAAGCGGTGTGAAAGTGCCCTGGCCATGTGACGAAGCAGAATGATTTCTAGATCCTAGTTTGGCCATGCTTAACGGAGAAAAGGGGAAATCATTCTCACACAATCTGTTGCACTATTTAAGGACAGTATCACATTTTTCAGTTATCTTGCACTGTTAATAGTCCTCAACATAAAGAGCTCAAAGCGTGCTAAATACTATGATAGGGCAAGCCACTTCCTGTACAGAGGTCATCATTTCCGTCCCGAAAGGGACTCTTTATCAGCACATCAAGAATAACAGATGAGTCAAGTCAATATTAAATGAGACTACAGTTACAGACAAGATACAGAGTGTAACTTTTAAAAAAATCTAGACCCATGGGAAAAAATTTAACTTAACTAAAAAAAATAAAAAATTTGGAAACTGAAATAAATAAATTAAAGCCGAAGTGAAAAGAACACAATAAAAATATGAAAATATAAATTAAAAGTGAAATATTAATAATACTAATAAATACTATATAAATAATTCTCAATTAAAAATGACTTGGACACTGAAAATATGATTTAATATTGTGTACTAAGGACATCAAAAATGCTAGCTGTGAAACGAGTGCTAGCGAGACAAAAAAAACTGTCTTGAGTCCAAGATGATTTTCATCATCTTGGTCTTGTCATAGACTCAGGACCATTTGGAATAAAACTCAAGCTTGACCTTGTTCTGGTCTTGGTCTTGACTTGAACTCAACCTACTCAGGTCTTAGCCTGAACTCGAAGTCACATGAGCTTATCACACCTACAACACTAACTCCATCGTCATTTCCACTACAGAAATGCTGTTAAAACCAATGCATCATTTGAGATTGGAAAAAATATATATACATTTAAGTTGAAGAAATAATTTATTGCTGAGTCCTGAACAAGGCTACAGCTGCCATTTATCCAACAGACATTTTCATTGTAAAACATCAGGGTCTCAAAATAACTTGCTGTTTTGCATCCTTTGTTGGTTTTCTATTACAACTATAGTACTATAAGACTTCAAAGTAGCGATGAAATCGGATAAACCTCAAACCCACAGCAGAACTTACCTCAAGCACAGGGCCTGCCCCCAGGATGGTTCGCTCCACTCCACTAGTATAGCCCTTCTGGCTGAGGGCAGTCAGGCAGTGGATAAGGAAGTTGGTGCTTTGCGTCTTACCAGAACCACTCTCACCGGAGATGACGATGCACTGGTTGACCTGTTTGTTCAGCATTGTGTGGAAGGCAGCATCCGCAATGGCAAAGACGTGAGGTTCTAGCTTCCCCAGCGTGTGGTTCTCATACATCTTGACATATCTGGGATTGTAGATGGGGAGAAACTTGAAGGGGTTGACCGCAATAAGAATGTTGCTTGCAAACGTGTAGATCTTCTGCTTGTGGAAGCGATGCCGCAGGGTTCCCAAGATGCTCTCCTCCGTCAACTCGGGGAGGTTACATAAATCATCGTATTCCTGAGGCTGTTGCGTGACAAAACCTCGATTCGCAAGTCCCTGAGCTACTTTCTCTTGCCGGACAGATGTCATAACGTCATACTGGATGGATCCATCGTAGCTTCCCTCTTGAAGGGCGAAAAAGTATCCATCACTTTGAGGGTGCTTGTCTTGGGCCTTTCTAGGCCAGAGAAGGACTCTTTGAACAGGCTGATCGCTGGCATGAAGGACCCACTCCTCTCCGCCGTACTCCTGGACCTCCACGAGGACGTAAGTCTTGGACGTGTCCAAGCCAAGTGTGGCAAGAGCGGTCTTGATGACAGTGGCTGCCGTTGCCTCTTTTGGGACCCTGAGGATGCAGCTTTGCCCAGGTTTGACGGACAACCTGGGGTAAATTTGCAAAGTGCAGACCGTTTCATCCTGGCAGCTTGTCGTCTTGTTGCCGTTTGTGACATTCATTCTTTAAACACACAGACATGCATCAGCATACCGCACTGCACAGTACAGCATGATAAAGACCTGGATACAAAAGAGAAGAAAGAATGTGAGTTTAAGTGAGAAACAGCAGTCAGACCACCAGTGTATGCATGTACACACTTGTCTAATGTTGGAACTGCATCAGTTTATAAATCAGCATAAACTGTGTGCCACAACTATTATTTAGTTAAAAAATAATAAAAATGTAAAATTAATTCAAAAAGTCAATTTCACTTTCAATGCTCAAGTACTGCTGTTTATTTATTTATTCTTCACTAGTTTTCTCTGTCGACTAGGTTGACTTTTCTTTCTGTGTGATTACATGTAAACCATGTTAAAATATAATGTGAAAAATAATATTGTCCTAAATGTTCACAACATGGTCAGAACGTACAAAAACATTTTTTTTTGTTTTTAAAATATTTTAGAAATTTAGAGAAAAATACAAATACACCAATTCCATCCTAGCATAGCATAAAATGTATTTAATTTTATATACAGTGTAATAAAAACGCATCCAATAATCAACAAACACGAAACAAACGTCATGACGCGTTTTAACGTTGACAAACTGTCTTTTTAGAAAATCTGACTATAGTTATCTTTCAATGGACTGCCAACACAATAAAAATAAAAAGTACATTAAATACCAACACCAATAAATTTACCTGTTTCAAAACACACTCGTTGTGTTCCAGAGCGGAGTCATTTCCAACATGGAAAAAATCCTGCCGTGCTTTCCAGATAAAACTTCCAGTGCTTCAACTACTATTAAAAGCCACCTGCGTTACTGCCTAACCGGGCAAGATAAACCGACATATACTGCACAGGTAAAACAGTCAAGATTCTGTAAACAGCATAAATGACTAACACCGAGAAATGTTCAACGAGAAATAAGGAAGAATACTAACTCGCCTCCAGAATGTTGACGACGCTGGAGACTTGTTACTTCCTGACATCGCAGTGTGTTTTAATTGCCGTTGAAATGTGTGAGGACACGCCGCCCTCGCCTGCATTCACACTGCCACTGCAGCTGCCACGCGCTCACGCAGGTAAACACAAGTGATACTTTTGATACTTCAATACCCACTTGAATACAGATCCAGCACCCTACCCCTCTCAAAAGTCATTGTTATATTTGTGATTATGATCGTGGGGGGAAAAGTATTTATTTATTTAAATTAAAAAAAGAGCTGGGAACAGGAAAAGTAAACTAAATGGCCATGTGTAATTCCACAATGCATGTTTGGTTCTCACCAGCAGGTGGCAGCATATAACACCAATTTCCCTTCAGCAAGGTGAGTAATGGCCCCTCACAATTATTTCAATGAGAGAAAAGCTATAAAAGTTGTATGTACAACAACTTTCATTAACAAATGTAAACAAACATTCTTACCAAGTACTAACTACAATGCAATTTTAATATTAACCCTTATGTCCATTTGAGACCCCAAATGATGTTTGCTGAAAAAAATAAAAATAAAAAGTTACCTTCATAAAATAAAAAATAAAAAATTGGAATGATTTCTGGTTGTATGTTAGTGTGACAAAAAGTCAGAGTCAGGATGTTCGGGGCCTGGAGACCCACAATGAAATTGATTCTTTTTCTTTTCAAATTTGTCAAATAAAATCCCCAAATGAGTCACAACGCAGAACACAAATACACAGAAATGAAGTGGCAGTACTTCCACACATCCACATTGCAAACGCTGTCTCTCTCTCTCACACACACACACACACACACACACATCTTATGATAGCGGTGTGAACAAAATACTAAAATTTGAGTCATTATTCAGTGAACATATAGCTCTCTTTTTGCCAGAACAATGGCAGATAAGGGGAGTCTTTGAGAAATTATATCTGATATTTTGTTTTGTGCCACAAAAATTGAAGAAATTGCATACTGCAATTTTTCAACTAAATTTTCTGTAGACAGACTTTGGCATGTGTAACATGTAACGACAGGCTTGCTCACTGCTCCCTATTGATTCTCAATATGTGCATACTTTCAAGACGATCTCTACATTACCATCATTCAGGACTTTATCCTGTTGTAAACTTGTTTTTAAACATACAGCTTCCCTGTTCCACTTCCATGTTCAAAGGAAAGTGAATACTAAGGAAACGCATTAATAGAAAGAAAACTGAATGAGAGGTTGCATCTGTCAGTTGTTAAGTTTTAATCAGCTGGCCTGACTGAACCTGTCATGACATGTTGGTGTACGCCAACTCGTTCTGGTATTCTGAAGCCAACACCCAGGGCTTCCACATATGACACAAAAAATTCAGAGTTAGAAGCTCAACAACAAGAGTGAGATCAGGCCCAACACTGATGTACATCTTAAACAGCTGCTAGGTGTGTTTTCCCATAGAGCTCTTTCTTATGTAAAAGGACAAAGGTCACAAGCGCACTCCTCAGATGCCATAACAGAGCACTGGCACCTCTCACGACTATCAAGTAAAAGTGAAAACTGAATTGCAGAAAGTGAGAGTAAAAATTCAATGCAAGTGCAACAAGTTTTATTCTCAAAACATGACATGACCCAGTTTTTTGTGACCCATTTTTGTTTCTCAAAAACATCTGTTTAGTATGTTTTCAGCAGTAACCCTAAATATGAGCAATTGATGCAAGCAAAATGATGCTTGCATTATAATGCCCATAATTTCCATAATGTAAAATCAACCACAATGACAACGTACATCCCATCTTACCTTTCTGGATCTTTTTCAGAAATATACCTCTTCTTATTTTGTTACAAAAAATTGGCCATTAAGAAGGACTATCTTTTTAACACAGGACCAATTTAATAATTTCATAGAGTTTTCAAATCTGTTTGAATACCTAAATAGGACAATGCTAACTGGATATCTAATGAAGAACTCTTTAGGTGAGGAAAGCTGTAAAATGATCTGCTCAAGGGCTAAGCTCTATGAACCAAAACATAAAACACAATTATTGCGGTGGTGGAGTCTCTAGAGCGGATGCATAATAGATAAACAGCACCATGTGTAAATAACACTACCAGACAAACAATGTGCATATTGTTGTGAGGGGTGTACGTGAACGCAATACACAAAGGTCTCTATGAATGAGTGAAGCGGTAGACAGGGACAGGTGTTTTTAATTCAACAAAACCAAAGGAGGATAACATAGAACTCAGTAATATGAAGCAACACTTATTTGTACCAAAAAATCTCTAAGCACTAACAAGTTTGTGTATTTTTTAGGGATGCACCGATGTATCGGCCGCCGATATTTATCGGCCGATTTTTCCTCAATTTTCAACCATCGGCATATCAGCTATATAAAGAAAAAGGCCGATATAACAAACCGATAGTTTATTAATTAACTGCGTGAAGGCACTGAGCTGTATAATGCCTGTTGCATAATCCTAGCTCTGCAGTCTGCACGAGAAGTGCACTTTAAACTCTCTCTCTCAGTTGCATTATCATCAACAAACAGCGAATTACACAAAACACTTATTACAACTAACAGTAAACAAATATATACAGATCTCATGCGAAGAACTGCGTGCTTTCATCACCCATATAGCTCCGTAGACTAGACCCGTCAAAATAAGAGTCCCGCCTTAGTAAAGGAGATCTCATACATATAAATAAAAACGCACAAAAAAAATATTAAAATGTATACAAAAACAAATTAGAAGATTAATCATAATAAAGTCTGTTACAATAAAGGATTAATATGTATTTAATTTATACAGTGAAGTGTTATTTTACATTTGTTTACTTTATTTCTGTACCTGAAAACTGTTAAACCTACCCAAAAAGCACTGTTTATTTAATATGTATCTTTGTTCTGTTGTATTTATGTAGGCCTGTTAAATTTTAAATGGAACCAATCCATGTTCATTATTTGATGATGCAGCAATAAAACTGCTAGTATAATTTAATGCAGATGTTTTTGCACTTTGCTGATTTAAAACATGATCAAAATACTATCTATTTTGAAGCCAAAATTTCAAATAAGAGCGGAAGCGACAAATATCGGTATCGGAATCGGCCAATAAGTGTTTGCTAAAATCGGTATCGGTCCCAAAAAATCCTATCGGTGCATACCTAGTTTTATATTTGTTCATATTTAAAAAAAAAAAAGATGAATAGAAGAGTTCAAAAGAACAATTTTTTTCATACTTCTTAACTGTGACTTTTTTTTTCAATTTAATGCATCCTTGCTGAATAAAAGTATTAATTTCTTTCAAGAAAATAAAAACTTTTTGTACAGAAGTGTCGTCTTGTTCCCAAATTAATGTCCCAAGTTAATGTTAACAAATGGAACCTTATTGTAAAGTGTTACCAAGTACTTAATCTTGGAACAAGAAGACTTCAATGATTCATTTCAGGAGCATGTTTTATTTATCATTTACTAAGGCACATGAGATCCAATAATCATCTAATATATTAATTTAAATGCGCATGAAATATTTATGGTCACACACAACCTCAGGCGTATGATGATAAAGTTTCACCAATCCCACTCTGTTTGCTTGTTCTGCTTCTTCTACCCATTACACACAACTACTCAAAACATAACCCTTTTTCTTTTTTTTTTACCATCCCTCTTTATAAGAAATATAGCCTATTTTAAACCAGCAAGGCATAACGCAAGCTGCTTGTTCCTCTTTGCCATTTACTTTCTTTGTAAGAAGTACTGCAGAACTGAGAGAGGCTGGGTCGAACCTAGTTTTATATTTGTTCATATTTAAAAAAAAAAAAAGATGAATAGAAGAGTTCAAAAGAACAATTTTTTTCATACTTCTTAACTGTGACTTTTTTTTTCAATTTAATGCATCCTTGCTGAATAAAAGTATTAATTTCTTTCAAGAAAATAAAAACTTTTTGTACAGAAGTGTCGTCTTGTTCCCAAATTAATGTCCCAAGTTAATGTTAACAAATGGAACCTTATTGTAAAGTGTTACCAAGTACTTAATCTTGGAACAAGAAGACTTCAATGATTCATTTCAGGAGCATGTTTTATTTATCATTTACTAAGGC